ACAGACGAATAAGCGTGGATTTTTTAAGGATTTTTTTTTTTCAAGGGCCAATAGACCAATGAGCGTGGATTTTTAAAGGAATTTTTTCAAGGGCCAACAGACCAATGAGCGTGGATTTTTTAAGGAATTTATTTTAAGGACCAACGGACCAATGAGAGTGGATTTTTAAAGGATTTTTTTCAAGGTCCTACAGACCAATAAGCTCTGATTTTTTAAGGAATTTATTTTAAGGACCAACAGACCAATGAGAGTGGATTTTTAAAGGATTTTTTTCAAGGTCCTACAGACCAATAAGCGCTGATTTTTAAAGGAATGTATTTTAAGGACCAACAGACCAATGAGAGTGGATTTTTAAAGGAATTTTTTTTAAAGTCCTAGAGACCAATAAGCGCTGTTTTTTAAGGAATTTTATTTAAGGTCCTATAGACCAATAAGCGCTGATTTTTTAAGGAATTTTATTCAACGTCCTACAGACCAATAAGCGTGGACCAATTCACCAATAATTGTGGAAGTTTTAAACATATTTTTCAAGGACTAATAGAGCAATAGGCTTGGATTTTTTTCAGTTACCAACAGATCAATCATCGGAGATTTTTAAGGAACTTACTTCGAGAACCAGCAGTAAGCTTGGACTTTTTAAAGAATATTTTTTCAAGGATTATCCCAGCAATTAACTTAGATTTTTTAAACAAATTTTTCGAAAGTCTATCCAAAATCTTAAATATTTTGCAAATATTTTTAAAGATTTTCAATAATCTTGCATTTTTTAAATATTTTGAAGGATGCACCTCCTCTATCCCAAATATTTTCCTTGTGATTCCATATTTCATCACTGCATTATCTCCATCTGGAATGTCTGCCTAGAAAAAATAATCAGCCGACATCAAAGGAGTACTGATGTTTCATTATTTGAGAAAAAATAAATTTCTCACATACCAAGAAGTAGGGGGAGGGCAGATTCTGTAAAATATCAAATAAGTTTGTCGTTGATGTCTCGCCTCCCCCTCCTCCTTCCTTGATGGTCACATCGAAATAATTAAAAGTAAAAAAGGAGGAATTCCACACTTCATATCCTTTGATTGCAGAAAATTGCCAACGGTACAAAGGGATGCAAGAATGCATCCTGACTGCTGCAGCATTGCTGCAGAACGTAGAAGAGTGGGAATTATTATGGCAATACTTTGTAAGATTTTTTTTATGTTTTCATTTGGAGTTTTTACTTGAATGAATGGAAAGAAACAAAAGAAAAAATAATTTGCTTTGCCAGGGCTTTCTGTGTGGTACACACACACATTACAAGGATGCCAACTTACCCTTAACCTAAATCAATAAACCCAGCTTCGAGGCTTATATAATTTAATTGTCGTACTTTTGCGCTTTGCTTTTCATGCAACACAAAAAAAAACACAGAAAACAACAGCACAACAATGTTGCTACAAGAGGTCGTTGTTTTTTTTCTGTTACTGGAACAACAGCCGTCTCTACACAACAGCCGACCATGGCCTGAACTCTGGGATGAGTAATGGCAAACGACAAAACCAGCAATGGTTTCGCAACCGATTCAATATCACCACAGGCTGTCGAGCGCTCTGTAAATGAGTTGCAAGGATTTGTTTTTATTTTCTTTTTTTTCTGCCATATTCTCGTATCCTTCACCTGAGCCAGAAGTGCTCATTTACTTCTTGGGTTTGTAACGGCCGATTTGACAAAGGGTGGTAATGACACGCACCATGATGATTGGCTTATTACCTGGTGCAGGATTATTCCAGACATCGCAGGAATAGGAAAGCTGATTAAAATTATGTCAAAAACATTGTTTATGTAGTCTCGGAGAAATGAATTACGGAAAACAATTTGTTATTATAAATTACTTGTAAAATAAAAAAAGTAAGGATAAGGGACCTTCAAAAATATTCCTAAAAAATATCGGTTGGTCCTTACAATAAATTCATTAAAAAATCCCCGTCCTTAAAAACATATTTAAAAAATCCACCTGTATTGCTGATATGGTCCTTGAAAATTATTTAAAAAATCTAAGTTTATTGCTGATATGGTCCTGGAAAAAAATATTTAAAAAAAAATCCACATTTATTGGTTTGTTGGTCCCTAAAAATGTATCAAAAATCCACGTTTATTGATCAGATGGTCCTTGAAAAAATATTCTTTAAAAAAACCAGGTTCATGGGTCAGATGGTCCTTCGAAAAATATTCTTTAAAAGATTCACGTTTATTGGCCAGATGGTCCTTAAAATAAATTCCTTAAAAAATCCACGTCTGAAGCTTGGAAGGACCTTGAAAAAAATTAAAAAATTCACGCCTGATGCTGGTCCTTAAAAAAATATGGTCCTTCAAAAAATATTCCATTAAAAATCCACGCTTATTGGTCTGTTGGTCCTTGAAATAAATTCCTTAAAAAATCCACGAATTTCAGTCTGTTGGTCCTTGAAATAAATTCCTTGAAAAATCCAGGTTTATTGGTCTGTTGGTCCTTGAGATCAATTATTTAAAAAATCCAGATTTATTAGTCTGCTGATCCTTGAGAAAATATTTTTTAAAAACTCAACGTTTATTGCTGATGTGGTCCTTGAAAAAAATTATTTAAAAAATCCAGATTATTTGGTGTGTTGGTCCTTCAAACAATATTCTTTAAAAAATCCTTGAAAAAAATTATTTAAAAAATCCAAGTTTATTGCTGACGTGGTCCTTGAAAAAAAAAATATTTAAAAAATCCAGGTTTATTGGTCTGTTGGTCCTTGAAAAAAAATATTTAAAAAATCCAAACTTATTGGTGTGTTGGTCCTTCAAACAATATTCTTTAAAAAATCAACGTTTATTGGTCTGTTGGTCCTTTAAAAAAATATTAAAAAAATTCACGTTTATTGATCTATGGGTCTTTGTAAAAAAATAATATTCAATAAATCCACGTTTATTGGTCTGTTGGTCCCTGAAAATTATTTAAAAAATCCAAGCTTATTGGCCTGTTTGTACTGAAAAAAAAAAATTATCCTTGAAAAAAAATATTTAAAAAATCCACGTTTGTTGCTGATGTGGTCCTTGAAAAAAAATATTTAAAAAATCCACGTTTGTTGCTGATGTGGTCCTTGAAAAAAAATATTTAAAAAATCCACGTTTGTTGCTGATGTGGTCCTTGAAAAAAAATATTTAAAAAATCCACGTTTGTTGCTGATGTGGTCCTTGAAAAAAAATATTTAAAAAATCCACGTTTGTTGCTGATGTGGTCCTTGAAAAAAAATATTTAAAAAATCCACGTTTGTTGCTGATGTGGTCCTTGAAAAAAAAATATTTAAAAAATCCACGCTTGTTGCTGATGTGGTCCTTGAAAAAAAATATTTAAAAAATCCACGTTTGTTGCTGATGTGGTCCTTGAAAAAAAATATTTAAAAAATCCACGTTTGTTGCTGATGTGGTCCTTGAAAAAAAATATTTAAAAAATCCACGTTTGTTGCTGATGTGGTCCTTGAAAAAAAATATTTAAAAAATCCACGTTTATTGGTCTGTTGGTCCTTGAAAAAAATTATTTAAAAAATCCAGGTTTATTGGCCTGTTGGTCCTTGAAAAAAATTATTTAAAAAATTCAGGTTTATTGGTCTGTTGGTCCTTGAAAAAAATTATTTAAACAATCCACGATTATTGGACTGTTGGTCCTTGAAAAAAATTCCTTAAAAAATCCACGCTTATTGGTCTGTTGGTCGTTGAAATAAATTCCTTAAAAAATCCACGCTTATTGGTCTGTTGGTCGTTGAAATAAATTCCTTAAAAAATCCACGCTTATTGGTCTGTTGGTCGTTGAAATAAATTCCTTCAAAAATCCACGCTTATTGCTCTGTTGGTCCTTGAAATAAATTCCTTCAAAAATCCACGCTTATTGGTCTGTTGGTCCTTGAAATAAATTCCTTAAAAAATCCACGCTTATTGGTCTGTTGGTCCTTGAAATAAATTCCTTAAAAAATCCACGCTTATTGGTCTGTTGGTCCTTGAAATAAATTCCTTAAAAAATCCACGCTTATTGGTCTGTTGGTCGTTGAAATAAATTCCTTCAAAAATCCACGCTTATTGGTCTGTTGGTCCTTGAAATAAATTCCTTAAAAAATCCACGCTTATTGGTCTGTTGGTCCTTAAAATAAATTCCTTAAAAAATCCACGACTATTGCTTGGAAGGTCCTTGAAAAAATTAATTTAAAAAATCCACGACTATGGCTTGGAAGGTCCTTGAAAAAATTAGCTAAAAACTCGACGCTTATTGGTCTGTTGGTCCTTGAAAAAATTAGTTAAAAAAATCGACGCTTATTGGTCTATTGGTCCTTGAAAAAAATTATTTACAAAATCCACTGATATTGCTGATGTGGTCCTTGAAAAAAATTATTTAAAAAATCCAAGATTTTTGGTCAGATGGTCCTGGAAAAAATATTTTTTGAAAAATCCAACTTTATTGGTCAGATGGTCCTTGAAAAAATATTCTTTAAAAAATCTAAGTTTATTGGTCAGATGGTTCTGGAAAATTTTTTTTTTTTTTAAAATCCAAGCTTATTGGTCTGTTGGTCCTTGAAAAATACCAAGACTATTGGTCTGTTGATCGTTAAAATAAATTCCTTAAAAATACAAGTTTTTTTGGTCTGGTGGTCCTCGAAATAAATTCTTTAAAAAAAAATCCAAGCTTATTGGTCTTTTGGTTCTTGAAAGGACCTCTTTAAGGACTTCTATTTTCGACATTATGCAGGGTATAAAATATTCGTTTCAACCTTAATTCTACTCATTGTTTTCCATGCACTTGAACGTAGATAATCCCAAGAGAAATATATATATTTTGTCTTTGCTCCTTGTTATCCTTCTTGTTTTTGTGTGTGTGTGTGTTCTTTGTTTTTTGTAATTATTCTTGTAGTTTAACTTTTGTTTTATATCCTCCATTGTTCTCCATCTCACCGGGTAATGTTGTTTTTTTTATTCATTCCCATTTTTTCTGTGTTTTGTAATAATTTCAGAACACAGTCGTTCTCATCCTCGCCATTCTCGTCGTTATATTAATACTTCATCGTCCCTTAATAATTCAACGCTTGAAGTAACCTCAAGTGGTGGTGGCCATTGTGGAGAGAATCCGCCAGCCACTGGGCCAGTAACAGCAGCAACAACATCATCGACGACAGCAAGGAGGACAACATCGTCGTCACAGTCAGTGACAGTTCCGCAAACGGCAAGGAGTCGTCAGCCACGTTTTGCCACATTGAATTGCATCAATGGCAGTAGTAATGACAATGATGCTGATGATGGCTATGGCGATGTCAACAACGTTGTCCACGAAAACGATGATGACGACCCAGAATTGTTGGTAAATCGACAAGAGATACAACAACGACCCTTTTTGTGTCGTACACCACCGCCAAATTATCACTCATTGTCGTCGGTGACGCCACCTCCTTTGTATACGCCACGTCACTGGGAAAGGCAAGACGAAGAGCAAATAAATCCTGGAGATCTTCCCACTGTTGGCAGTCGCATTGAAAATGCAACACAAGACACACAGACACAACGGCAACAGCATCCATTTCCGACATTTCCACCACCACCGCCACCAGCAGCCACAGCAGCAGCATCTCCAGAAATTCCAGCATTGCCTTTAAGGCTTTATCGAGTACCGGAAGTTCTTGGTCCTGGCATTGATGACAACGCTGATGAGGATTATGTTTTCTTAAATGGACATAATATCAACGAAAGAAGAACGAGAAGAAGGAGCCGAAGCAGCAGAGGATGCAATAGCTCAAGCGTAGCCCAGCTATTGCCATTTGAAGTCGCATCGTTATATGGCCATGCCAGGCAGGAACCATTGCTGGCCAATGAAAGCTATTCGCCGAGAAATGTGGCAACAGTGTCATCACAACATCATCCCCAGGAAGAACATCATCATCAAAGACGTAGAACACAACGTCGCCGTAAATTCCATTTATTACAACAACAACAGCAACAATCGAACTCTCCCATCGTTGGGAATCCGAATAACATCGACAGTAGCACAGATTCTGACAGCTCAACGAGCTCGAGTGATATCAACGAGAATTTTAACGAAGATCAGTCCCATATCGGCACGACCAGGGATCAGAGAAGACGCCGAAGGCAACGTTTATTGAAATTAAGAGGTAAGTTATCAGATATATTTTAAAGAAATGTACAATTATGAGTTCAAAGGGTTGGGGAATCTCAGAAATATTGTTTTTTGGTAAAAGTAAAAAATAATTTCCAGAAAAAAAAATTATTGTCTCCAAAATTTCTTTAAAAAATCCACGATTATAGTATCCAAAATTTATTTAAAAAATCCACTATTTTAGTCTCCGAACATTCTTGAAAAAATCCACGATTCCAGCCTCCAAGAATAATTAAAAAATCAACGATTATCGTCTCTAATTTTTTCTTTAAAAAATCAACGATATATAGTTTCCAAAATTTATTTAAAAAATTCACGATATAAAGTCTCCAATTTTTTTTTAAAAAATCAACGATATATAGTCTCAAAAATTTATTTAAAAAATCCACGATATATAGTCTCCATAATATATTTGAAAAATCCACGATTAGAGTCTTCCAAAATTTATATAAAAAATCCACGATAATGGTCTCCAAAATTTCTTTAAAAAATTCACGATAATGTTCTTCAAAATTTCTTTAAAAAATTCACGATTATAGTCTCCAAAATTTATTTAAAAAATTCACGATTATAGTCTCCAAAATTTATTTAAAAATTCACGATTATGGTCTTCATAATTTATTAAAAAATTCAAGATTATAGTCTTCAAAAAAATTTTTTTAAATTTATATAAAAACTCCACGATAATGGTCTCCAAAATTTCTTTAAAAAATCCACGATTATGGTCTCCAAAATGTATTAAAAAATCCACGATTACAGTCTCCAAAATTTATTTGAAAAATTCACGATTATGGTCTCCAAAATTTATTTGAAAAATCCACGATTATGGTCGCCATAATTTATTAAAAAAAATGAAGATAATAGTCTCCAAATTTTTTTTTAAAAATCCACGATTATGGTCTCCATAATTTAATAAAAAACCCAAGAATATAATCTCCAAAATTTCTTTAAAAAGAATCCGTCATTTTAGTCTCCAAATTTTCGTCATTTTAGTCTCCAAAATTTATTAAAAAATCCACGAATATAGTCTCCAAAATTTCTTTAAAAAAATCCGTCATTTTAGTCCCAAAATTTCTTTAAAAAATTTCGTAATTTTAGTCTCCAAAATTTCTTTAAAAAATCCACGATTATGGTCTCCAAAATGTATTAAAAAATTCACGGTTACAGTCTCCTAAATTTATTTGAAAAATCCACGATTATGGTTTCCAAAATTTATTTGAAAAATCCACGATTATGGTCTTCATAATTTATTAAAAAAATGAAGATTATAGTCTCCAATTTTTTTAAAAAATCCACGATTTATTTAAAAAATCCACGATTATTATCTCCATAATTTAATAAAAAATCCAAGAATATAATCTCCAAAATTTCTTTAAAAAGAATCCGTCATTTTAGTCTCCAAAATTTCGTCATTTTAGTCTCCAAAATTTATTAAAAAATCCACGAATATAGTCTCCAAAATTTCTTTAAAAAAATCCGTAATTTTAGTCCCAAAATTTCTTTCAAAAATTTCGTAATTTTAGTCTCCAAAATTTCTTTAAAAAATACACGATTATAGTCACCGAAATTTCGTTAAAAAATCTACGATTATAATCTCCAAAATTTCTTTAAAAAATCCATGATTATAGTCTCCAAAATTTCTTGAAAAAGAAAGGAAGGGAAGTTTGGAAACATCTCGCATTTTGTGAGGTTTATGGTTATTCATTAATTTGACCCTTTTTGTGGAAGGTATTCGATTTTCGCACCTGGTCGAATTCTTATATAAATAATACACTGAGGGAAGTTTCAACAACATCGATGTGCCAAATTTGGAGCAAGTCGGAAACTTAAAAAAAAACCAAAAACAAATTTTAAAAATTGGTTAGGACTTATAAAGCAATAATATCTGTGACCTGACGTGATATTGGCGATATTCCTGAATATTTAGTATCAATTTAATTTAAAAAAAATGATATTCCTAAAACCGAATATTGAGCATTAATTTAGATTAAAACCAGTAAAGAAAGTCCTAAAGTTGGGCGACTTTTTGATACCCTACACCACTTTCCTAATTTAGTAGAGCTCGACGTAACAATTAAAAGTTTTTATGGGAGAATTCAATCATACACGCTATGATTATAATTATAATTTAAGGTTCAAAGGACTAAATATGCCGAAGCATTTGTATCTTTTAAATTCGGACTTGTATTGACCATTTGGTGCAAAATTAATGTGAAATCAGTTAAAGATATGTATGGAGCTATATCCATATCTGAGCCGATCTCGATAAAAAGAAAGGCAAAGACATTTCTGAGCTGCATTTGATATATTTCCCTGGAAATCGTTGTTACGGAGTGCATATTACGGCTGTGGGTAACAAATACTAGAAATCGGATGAACAATATATATGGGAGCTATAGCTATATCTGAACCGATCTTCACCAAATTTGACATACTAGCTTCTGGATTCGGTCGTAAGTGCCAAATTTCATCCCATTTGGACTAATATTAGACGCTTGGTGCAAAATAAAATGTAAATCGGGCGAAGTTATATATGGGAGCTATATCCAAATCTGAACCGATCTCGATAAAATTTGGCAAATGGATTTCTGAGCTGCATTTGATATATTTCCCCAAATATTGTTGTTACAGAGTGCATATTACGGCTGCGGATAACAAAAATAACAAATCGGATGAACAATATATATGGGAGCTATAGCTATATCTGAACCGATTTCGATCAAATTTGACACACTTACTTTCAGGCCTAATTTGGTTGTATGTCCAAGATTCCATACTATTCGGGCTGATATTACACGTTTGGTGCACAATAAAAGGCAAATCGGACGAAGATATATGTGGGAGCTATATCTAAATTTTTACCGATTGCCTCCAATTTCAAGAGGGTTCGTCCTTGGGCCAAACAAATGATTTGTGCAAAATTTCATCTCAATCGGATAATAAATGCATTTTGTTCACAAAAATACATGGACATACAGACTGACATGCATAAATCAACTCAGAAAGTGATTCTATGGATATCCTCAAAAGTAACTATGGGTCCTTCTTCATGTTACAAACAAATGCACAAAGACATAATGCCCTTACCACTATGTGGTGTAGGGTATAAAAAACAAATCATAGCCACTTCCAGTAAAGAATGTGACTAAGCCTCCAAAACATCAAAAATCTACCGCACCGCAATATAGTAATTATATCGGAATGTTGACCGATATTGAAAATTAATTTCGTGAGAATCAAACTAAAAAAAAAATATTTTTCCGCTATATGTTAGTGTACCTATATTTGAAATGTCTGGACGTATTTTAGAAATTTTCTGCAAGAAAAGTTTGTACCCTTTTAAAAACTGAAACATCAAATTACAGCCCGTTTGGTTGTGAAATGATTTCAATACTTCCAAAATATTTTAAATTCGGAAGAATTTTAGTATGCGATGCTATATAAAATAAGAGAACAATAATGAAGTTTTTGTTTTTTTGAACAAAGATTTCTATTTCCACGGATGGACATCGCCATAGACAAACTTATGGCTATATCCCCATACGATGATATATGGTATAAAAATAGAAATTATTTTCTCTCTCTCAAAAACGCCAACTTAGCATCACTGTTTAACGCATACATCGATTTAGGCAATATTACCGCTATTGATACACAATCAGCTGTTAACAGCTTTGTTTTGACACAACCAGTTTCTCTGCAAACATCATGATCATAAAAACATAATATGGCTAATAGTTTAAAAGAGATTACACTATTCGACAGAAAATTACAAAAAATAAAAATAACAAGTAAAAAAACATTAAGTTCGGCCGGGCCAAACTTTTAATACCCTCCACCCTAGGGTAAAAGAACATTAGAAAAAATGTGGCAAAAAACATTAAAATGCGAATATCGGGAGGTACCGTTATATAGGGGCTACACCAACACGTGCACCTATAATTACAATGTTTCGCCACACGACCTAGGACCCATTATGACCCACAAATACCAACTTTTACACAAATCAGTGAAAAAATATGGCATAAATCATCAAAATACCGAATATCGGGAGGTACCGTTATATGGGGACTATACCAGAACGTGGACCTATACATGCAATGTTTTGCTACACGCTCAGGGACCCGTTGTTACCTACAAATACCAATTTTCAGACAAATCCGTGAAAAAATGTGGCATAAATCATCAAAATACCGAATATCGGTAGGTACCGTTATATGGGGGCTATACCAAAACGTGGACCTATACATGCAATGTTTTGCCACACGCTCTGGGACCCGTCATGACCTACAAATACCAATTTTCAGACAAATCCGTGAAAAAATGTGGCATAAATCATCAAAATACCGAATATCGGTAGGTACCGTTACATGGGGGCTATACCAAAACGTGGACCTATACATGCAATGTTTTGCCACACGCTCAGGGACCCGTCATGACCTACAAATACCAATTTTCAGATAAATCCGTGAAAAAATGTGGCATAAATCATCAAAATACCGAATATCGGGAGGTACCGTTATATGGGGACTATACCAGAACGTGGACCGATATATCTCATTTTCAATACCAACCATCCTAGGGACAATACACACACTTGTGCCAAATTTCAAAGGTCTACGTCAAATAATGTGTGCTCTATCGTGATTTCAACAGACAGACAGACAGACAGACGGACAGACAGACAGACAGACGGACAGACAGACAGACGGACATCGCTAAATCGTCTTAGAATTTTATGCTGATTATGAATATATATACTTTATGGGGTCTACGACGAATATTTAGAGGTGTTACAAACGGAATGACAAAGTTAATATACCCTCCTACCCATGGTGGAGGGTATAATAATTTTTATTCTTGATGTGTCGACTTTTCATTTATAGATTTGATTTGTTTGTTAGTTATGAGAAAATGAGGCCGATATTTTAATATGACCAAAATAAAAAATTTACTTCAGTCAAAAAATTGAGGAGAAAATATCCCCAACTTATATATACGTATACTCCCTCTCGTATCCTCAACTTTTTGAAAAATCTTGAATCTGAGCTCCGAAATACTAGCTCTCTTTTGAGTATACAGGATGAGATGAAAAAACTTCAAATAACTTCAGACTGTTGTCATTTCTAAGCCACTCGTCCGACAGCTGTTAAAATTATTCCAGTGACAGCTCATTATATTGTTTAAAAGCGTACAAAAGCACTTTGGTGAGAATTTTCCAGAAAAAAAAGTTTCTTTATATTTGGCTGGAAAAACACAAGTGGCTATCGTTAGAGCACTCCAGCATTTAAATGTTAATAAATCTTTAGTGTCTCGTACCATCGCTCCTTACCGTGATACTGGTAGCGTAGCCCGACGCCAAGGAAGTGGACGGAAGAAAATAGCAACATCAGCAGAAATGGTTCGAAAAGTAAAGAAGCGACTTCATCTAAACCCGCGTTGGCAAATATTGAAAAAGAGCTCGGGGTAAAGCCATTGAAATTCCAAAAAGTGCAAGAACTTACACCACAACAGACTGAAAATAGACTCAAAAGAGCTAAAGAGTTGCTTCGCTTGGCCGAAAGTGGTGAACTTCCGTTTTCCGTTTCTGATGAGAAAACATTCGTTGTCCAGTAGTTTGTAAACAAACAAAATGATTGTGATTCATTGCCAAAGAGGTCAGCTGAAAATGTGCACCTTCGGTTGGCCACCAGAACTCAAGCGCCGGCCATGGTGATGGTGTGGGCCGCCATAACAGCCGATGGTCGCTCTCCGCTCGTATTAATCAGAAAAACTGCCGAATATTATCGCGAAAATATTCTGGAGGGTGTATTAAAGCCTTGGGCACGCAAACATTTTGGCTGCAGACCTTAAGTATTCCTACAGGACTCAGCGACATCGCACTCAGCACGCATCACCCAAGAATGGTTACAAAATGATGTTCCTCGTTTCATTTCCAGCGCACAATGGCTACCAAAATCTCCGGAAACCAATCCGTTGGACTATTGTGTCCGGACTATTTTTGAAAGCAAGGTTACCATTTTAAAGTGGCGATCACCTCAGGCAAGCGCTTCGCCGGGAATGGGCCAAAATACCGCAGAGCAACATTTGGGCAGCGTGTGACGGTTTCATTGGCCGTTTGAAGGCCATAAATTGTCCCAAAGGTGACCAATTCGAACAAATCTAAACTTATTCTAAAATTTGATGACTTTTCCGATATTTTTTAATTTCATTTTTAAAATTTAAAACAAAAAAAAATTAAAAATTATGGCCTTTGACTTTGTTGCAGTTTATTTTTATCTCACCCTGTAAATGGTCATAAGCCCAGACTATATATTTGTCGCCGAAACGACTGATAATATTTTATTCAAACTACATCGTGTGGGTTAGGTTTTCTTTGTCCTGAAAATAAATAAATGGTTTAGAAAAAATATATAAAATTTAAATAAAATTTTTTGACGTTGGGCGCCACCTCATATTTTTGGTATTTTGAAGTCAATCCATTATATTCCGGATAAAAAACATAAATTTCTGTGTTCATCATAAACCGTAGTATAGTCTCCACCTATAATTTGTAAATTTTGGTTTCTTGGCGAAAGGAAACCTTGCAACAAAAATCTCTAAAAAACACTCTATACCCATTTTTCGGTGTAGCCCCTTAAAACGTTACAGTCCGAAAATTTTTACACCCTCCACCATAGTATGGAGGGTATATTAAATTTGTCATTCCGTTTGTAACCCCTCGAAATATACATTTTAGACCCCTCAAAGTATATATATTCTTGATCAGCATAAAATTCTATGTCGATTTAGCGATGTCCGTCCGTCTATCCGTCTGTGGATTCGAACGAAATGAAGTAGGTTGATAAAATTTTACTCAAATATATATAATGTCAGCAGGACTTTTGTCCACGTCTTCGTATAGCCCCCATATAACGGTACCTCCCGATATTGGGTATTTTGATAATTTTAGAGACATTATTTACGGGAACTATTTCAAATTTAGTATTTGAAAATTGTCTGTGCGGGTCCACGTTTTATAACCCCCATGGTCCTTCCTATATTCGGTATTTTAATGATTTTAGCTGCATTATAAACAGATTCTTTTTTTCAAGTTTCACATTTAAATATTGTCATTGCTTGTGACAAAAGTTACCTATGCAGGTCCACGTCGTCGTATAGACCCCAATATACGGCTATATTCCGTATTTTTAAGATTTTAACAGAATTTTCAACGGATTTTATTTTTTTGAAAATTGCCAAATTTGTACCAAATTGTGGAGGGTATTCAATGTTCGGCCCGGCGAATTTACTGCTTTTTTTCAAAAACCACTTCCTTTAATAATGTGCATTCCATTAAGACTATTTTCTGCCTTCTTTCCATGAATATTCATATATAAATGGACGTGGACCCAAATTATGTATCTGTCGCCGGAACGACTGATAATATTTTCTTCAAACTACATCGCGTTGGTTAGGGTTTTTTGTCGTAAAAAATTTAAAAAATTAAAATAATAATATATTTTTTTTATTTTTGACGTTGGGCGCCACTTCATATTTTCGGTATTCAGATAAAAAAACACAAATTTTTGTATTTATCCGTAGCATAGTCTCACCCATAAATTTGTAAATTTCGGTTCCTTGGCTAAAGGAAACCTTGCAACAAAAATCTCTAAAAAACTCTATACCCATTTCTCGGTATTGGCCCCTTGAAACGTTACAGGCCGATATTTTTTTATATTTAAGGGGTTTCAGCACTTGAAGAACTAGAAAAAAATAAAATTAATTTTAATTTAATTTTTTTCATTTTTACGTTGGGCGCCACCACCTTTTCATTGATAATTCTTTAAGCGTTGGTTTATTGTATTTCAATCTCACGACAATGTAAACAATAGAATTTTACATAATTAATTATTTTCAAACCAGTCTCAAACCAAGTTCCAAGTTGTACTGTCGAACGTTTTGCAATGAAATAAAAGTGAGCTGTCCCAGTTCCAAACGTTGACCTCAAAAAAAGCAACAAACTATTTTTTTAAATAGGTATGTAGTTCACTACTCAGCACAAAAATATTTTGTTGACTAGTGAAATTGATTCACATGTGCCTGCAAAAACAACAACTAAGCATAAACACAAGAGGCTGGTTGGATGTTTGGGTTTGGTGGTTTTCCATGCACTGCACGCTAGACGTCTTACGGTGTTAATGTTCATAAAGTCGGAAGTAAATTTGATGAGTCTTGTTGTTTTTGTTATTACCTCCCAAAAAAAACCGGTTGTTATGTTTTGTTGTTGGTCCAAACAACTAGTCAGTCGTTCAGGCCGCTTCAATGGCCGCTTCACATGGTCTCAGCATGTTTTGGCCAAAACAAAACTAAAGCAACTGGCAAAGAGGGGATTTGAATTTTTGGTTTGTGATCGGTCGGTCAACGGTTCGAATATCGGAAATTTTCAAATGACAATTTGTTGTTGTTGTTTTAAATTGTCAATAACAACATGAAGACGCGTATTATTTTAATTCTGCTGGGTGTGATCATTCTACAGCTAATAAAGCCACGGATTGCCAAGAACACGGTGAGTAACGAATTATTGAAAAAAATGGGTTATAATTTCGTTTTTTTCTTTGACAGTGTGATCGCGTAACGGAGCATGGCTATCTCTGTGAGAATCACACGGTAACTACCAAAGATGGCTATCTGCTGACCATGTTTCGCATACCTCACTCCCCATTAAGAGAATCCCAGGAAAATGAAATTCTACCCAGACCTGCCGTTTTATTGATGCATGGCACCGAATGTTCCTCGGATATGTGGGTACTCAATGGTCCCAATGATGGTCTACCCTTCCTGCTGGCCAATGCCGGCTATGATGTCTGGCTGGCCAATATTCGAGGAAATTTGTACTCACGTCAACATCAGACACTCTCGCCCTCCTCCCGGGAATTTATGAATTTCTCATGGGATGAAATTGGCCGTTACGATATACCCGCAAAAATTGATTATATCCTCTCGAGGACTAATCAAAAGAAACTCCATTACATTGGATTCTCAATGGGCACCAGGATTTTTATGATAACAATGTCGACGAAACCCAAATATGCGGAGAAAATCAAAACTGCCCAAATGTTGGGTCCTGGAGTATTCTTGTGTCACATCAGATCTCGCTTGCCGACGCTATTGGCTCCGATTTTCGGTAGACCCGGAGTTTTGTCGAGTATTTTCGGCGCCATGCAGGGAAATGCTTTGAGTGATTTAATGCGTTCCGTTTTGCCTGGGATTTGTCGGCATAATTCCAATACCTGTGCCAATTATTTACAGAGTATGGTCGGCCGCGATTCGCCCTATGTGAATCAGGTGAGTTTGGAATTTATTATAATTTCTAATTATTACTATTATTATTAAATTTATAAATAATGATAATGAATAATAAAAATTTCCCTTCCTTTACAGACCCTCCTCGCGGACTTTTTCTCCACCTACCCGGCGGGAACCTCACCGCGCCTGACCTTACACTTCCTCCAATTGGTCAACTCTTGCCAATTTAGGTCCTTTGATTTCGGTCCCAATGAAAATAAACAAAAATATGGTCAATTGGAACCACCCGCCTACGATTTGAAAAGAATCAAACTCCAAATGCCCATTGAAATGTATTTCAGCGACAATGACTATTTGGCCACCATCGAGGATATACGTCACCTCTACAAAATTATGGGAAATCAATTGTCGCTGCATCGTCTAAATTTTGAAAAATATAATCATTGGGATTTTATTTTGGCGAAAAATGTTAAAACCTCCATCAACGATTGTGTCGTCGATAAAATGCAACAGTACGAAGGCAGGTCCTTTAACGGCAGTTTGTGTAATAATTTTAGAAATAAAGCGTTTTAAAACATTTCAAATTTTGTTTTCTTTTTATACCCTCAGCCATATGGCTAGAGATAATTTGACACGGCCAAAACGCGCCTCATTTAAATAACGGTTTTATATCCTAGGTCTCTTTGGACCAATCCCGTTTCAGGACATTTGGAGTCGATCTAGCGATGTTCGTCCGTCCGTCTCTCTGTCAGTCTGGCTGATGCGCCGGTCCACTCCTTCTGGTACTTCCCACACAAAATGTCAACATTTTTAAAGAAAATAGTTTCTTGCCCTGAAAGAGAAAGGGTAATCCGATTATGCTCCAACTTTGCAAATCCAAATATTTGCGTCAGTACTAGGTCAATGTTATATAAAATGTTATGTAAGTGTCCACAATACACCACAATATTTTTATCAATCCAAGATGGAATATATGGGTAGATTCATTCTGGTAGCTCCCATACAAAGGGTCAACATTTTGAATATTCATGAAGCTCATAAAACACGAAATTTACTTTCGATTCCATTCAGACTTCGCACATCTCAACATTTCCATCAACGCAAGATCTGTTATGAAGATGTTAGGGATCGAAACATTCATTCTGGTACCTCCCTCCCAAAGGGTCAAAGTTTTGAGTAACCAAAACGATCATGAAATCCAAAATAAACATCCGGTTATTTTCAAATTATCATCACAACATTTTTATTGACCACTCCTTCAAGTACCTGCCCCACAAAGGGTCAAAATTTTGAGTATCTATGAAGCTCATAAAACGCGAAAATATCGTCCGATTCCATTCAGACTTGATACATCTCAATATTTCCGTCAACACAAGATATGTTATTACGATGGTAACTCCCCCACATAGTGTTTAAGATTTTGAAAAAACAAAACGCTCAAAGAAAGCGAAATAAGCATCCAACCCTCTTCAAATTTCACATATCCAAATATTTTTGCTAACGCAAGTTCTGTTGTGAAGATTATATACATCTGCCAACCCCATTCTGGTACCTCACCCACAAAGGGCACAATTTCCAATTTTCATATCTGTCATAACTTGCGAAAAAAGTGAAGTAATTGATTGACTGGCTGACTTAACGATTCATCAACGCCCAGACGAAACGGCTAAAACTAGAATCATGAAATTTTGGGTGAGGGTTACTCTTCTCCGAAGGCGTCAGATAAGGCAGGATTTTTTGTAATTCGTACTAGAACGATTCGAATAGTATTGAAAAGTAATAAATATGGTGCCCTTTGTATTTGAGGAAGCAGTAGAGCTAGATCTCTTAAATTCGGAATGAGTGTGACTGATGGAATCTATGGTAGATGTACCAAAAGGAAATCGCACCATAAGTGTCCAAAGGTACTAAAATGTACTACATTCCGCATCATGAGCTAAAAAAATGTGGAATATTTGGAATGCAAATCAAGGCTGGAATTCTGAAAATTAGAAATAAGGTTACTATTGCATTCTAGGACTGAGGAATGTAGGTAGTTTTGGAAATTCGTACTTATGTATACCAAATGGTACTAAACTTGGTACAATTCCAATATTTGAAAAGTCAAAAGAGTTGGAGTCCTGAAAATTTGAAAATAAGATTACTATTGCATTGTAAGACTGAGGTATGCAGGTAGTTTTGGAAATTCGTACTTATGTGTACTAAATTGTACTAAATTTGGTAAAATTTAAATTTTGGTTGAACCGGTGGGGAGTTGTTATCCGAAATTTAAAAATAAAAATTTCGATTAGACTTATGACGTAGGTAGTTATAACAATTCGTACTTAATTGTACTAAATTTTGTACAATTTGGATTTGGATAAAACCAATAGAGTTGGTATCCTGAAAATTGAAAATGAGGTAACTTTCGGAGTCTCGGATTGGGATATGTAGGTGGTTTTTTAAGTTTGTCCTTTAATATACTAAACCGTACTAAATAAAGTATAATTTGTATTTGGGTGAACCAATAGGGTTGGAGTCCTGAAATTTAGAGTTGGGCTTCTGTGGGAGGATTAGGATTTGGGTATGTAGGAAGCTTTGTAAATTCGTACTTATGTGTACTAAATGGTACTAAATTTGGTAAAAATTGGATGAACTGATGGAGCTGGAATTCTGAAATTTTAAATGATGGAGTGCAGGATATATGTACCAAAGAGTTCTTGGAAATTTGAACTTTAAATTAAGATAATGTTCTTAAATTTTACTAAGTTTTTAAAATGGTGAACGGATAGAGCTAAGAACTTAATTTTTTCTATGAGAATCAGGGTTGGAAAGTAATTTTGATATATGAAGGTGGATTGGGAAATGTGTGCTAAGAGGGCGAAATGTACTAAATGGTACTAAATTTGGTTTAGGGTAAACGGTTGAAGCTAGAATTACTACATTTTGTATTGAGGTCCCTGCTGGTGGTAGGTTTGCGATAAATAGGTGGTTTTGGAAATTTATACTAGAAGTTCACGAAAAGTACTAAATAGTATAATATTTGGTATTGGGTGAAAATTTGATACTAAGTTCGCTATTAATGTGTAGCCTAGACAAATGGAGCTGGTTTCGGAAATATGTACTATAATTGTACAAAAAGTAAAATTTAGTACCACACTAAATTGGGTATTTAGTAAATGGATAGATATAAAATTATGAAATTTAATATTTAGATTACTGATGTCATCTGTATTTGGGATTTGGTAGTGGTTTAGAAATGGGTACTATATTTATACGAAAAGTACGAAATGGTACTACATTTTAGATTGAGTGAAAGGAAAGGGCTTGTATCCCGAAATTTGATATTGAGGTGTCTGTTGGTATCTGGAATTGAGATATGGAGAGCATTTTGAAAATGTGTACTATAATTGTACGAAAAGTACCGAATGGTACTTCATTTGGTATTGGGTAAAGGGATAGATATAAAATTCTGAAATTTTATATTTTGATTACTAATGGTGTCTGTGTTTGAGATTTGGTGGTGGTTTCGAAATGGGGCCTATATTTGTACGAAAAGTACTAAATGGTACTAAATTGGGTATTGGGTGAAGGGATTGAGCTGGAAACCTCAAATTTAATATTGAAGTCTCTGTCGGTATCAGAGATTGAAATATGAATGTGGTTTTGGAAATGTGTACTATAATTGTACGAAAAGTACTAAATAGTACTAAATTTGGTATTGTGTGAAGGAATTGAGCTGGCATCCTGAATTTTGATATTTAGATCTCTGTTGGTATCTAGAATTGAGTTTTGGAGTTTGTTTTGGAAATGTGTACACTATAATTGTACGATAAGTACTAAATTTGATATTGGTGAAGGAAAAGAGTTGAAATTAATACATTTCATAGTTGATTTCTGTGGTTAAGATGTGGAAGTGGTTTGGGAAATGTGTACTATAATTGTACGAAAAAATATAAATTATACAAAATTTTGTATTATATGTAGGGATAGGGCTGGAATACTTAAATTTCATTTTGAGGTCTCTGTTGGTATCTGGAATTGAGAGACAGAGATGGTTTTCGAAATGTGTACTCTTATTGTACGAAAAGTACCACATGTAACTAAATTGCGTATTGGGTGAAGCGATTGAGATGGAATCTGAAATTTGTTATCCATGTGTTATCTGGAATTGAGTTATGGAGGTGATCTACTATAATTGTACGAAAAGTACTACTAATTACTACATTTAGTGAGGGGATAGACCTTATATTCAGAAAATCGATACTGAGGTAACAGTTGGTTTCTAGTTTTGGACGGAAAAAATGGATATGGGTCCACTATGTAATGGTCCACTATGTAATCAATATCCTCTTCGGTAAAATGGAAATGAAAGTTTTTGGTGTAAAAATAAAAATAACCTTGAATGCTATACAAAGACCTTAAAATTCTGAATATTTAGTACAATGTATGAAGTTTTGTTAAAAAAATTGTAGAATTTGCCATTTGGGTACTAAAATGGCCAATCACGAATTGTTGGGACAAATCTTAAATTTTAGGGTGGACTTTTCGTAAACAAAGTAGCGGTAGTAGTTTCAAATAAAAAAAAATGATTAAAATATTCTTCCATTTTCCCCTTCCCATTTCAGATGCCTATTGTCCCGACTTGTTGAATGCCTGTTCATTGATTTTACTGCAACAGCAGCAACAACAGCAGACAAGTGATTCCACAGTAGGAAGTTTCACCGATTCACCAGCACCACACGGACGAAATATCAGCCACGACGTGGACGACGATGATGATACTTCTTCATCCGATTATGTGGAAATACCATATCAACGAAGTCAAGCAACTAATCAAATTATTTACGAGACAACGAATAGACTGAATGGACCACAACAGCAACAACAACAACAAAACTTATCGAGAGCAACAAATCGTGAAACAACAGCAGAAGAAAACCAAAGATTACAACAACAACAGGAAATGGGTCAAAATTTAAGTATACGCCGGCCAAGGATATCACTTACATGGGTATTGAGAGAACAGCAACAACAGCAGCAGCCACAACAACAGACACCAAATCAAAAGGACTCGCCAACAAAGAAACACAACAACGACAATGACAAGGAGAATAAGGTAAAGAGCCAGGATCCAGCTCGCCTCACAAATAACAATCAGGTCAATGGTAAGGGTCTGCCCAATCTCGAAGTCAATCAAAATCAAACCACAGTGGTGGTGGAAAAGAAACGATATCGCCTGAAGAAATCGGCCACAGAGAATGTGGAACCCCTTAATGGCTATGCCACCACACCGACCAGTTACACCAATGCCTCAACGGCATTGGCCTCCCAGAAGTTTTTTAGCAATCAAAATCTGCTGGAATATCATCGAGATGATAGCAATGCCAAACCACCATCCAAAGATTTGTTGTTTGTGTGTACGCCCCAGCGGCTGCCGGATGGATTTGCTGCCTCCACTGAAGCCTTGGCCTTGGTTAAGAAACGTAATGAGATACGCAAGAAATTGGCAGCCAAGATGGCCCAATTTCGGGCCGAGACCCAGGCTGCCACAAATCACCTAAACGGGGGCGTCGGCGGGCTGTTGCCAGTAAAAAAGGAGCCAAAAGTCTCCCTAAAATCAGGATCCTACTCTGAACCTAGTCTCATTGCTGCCTCGGAAGGCAATCCCCGGCGGCATCGTCATCGCAAACGCAAGGAACGTAATCGTCCTCCCAAGTTTGGGTATGACATTAAGAATGTCGATGAGTTTCTGACCAAATGTTCACTGGCCTCACCGGCCAACATACCCATGGTCCTGTCTACCTCATGTGTGCTCTATCAAACCCGGCCCGGTGGCTATCAGACAGAGGTCTCTCTGCCCCTGGGCATGGTCATAAATGCTGTGTTCAAAAATCAAAATTGGCTCTATGTCCAGACGCCCCATGGCGAGGAGGGTTATGTCAACTACAACACCTGTTTGCCGCTGGGTATTCTGCCGGCCGAGGCCCGGAAGGAGGGGAAAAGTGAGACGACGCATACCAAACCCAAAGCCTGCTGGGAAACCAGTGGCGATGTTTTCCCCAAACCCTGTGGTAATATGACCGATTCGGAAAAGGAAATCCATTTGAGAGTGGGAGGTACCCGCAGCCGCAGTGAAGGGGCCAGGACGCCACATCTAAAAAGTCAATTGACAGATAATGCCGATACGGTGACTGTGATCTCGGTGAACACCGACAATACCGATTGTTTAAATGGCAACACCTCCTCCATTTATGGAGAGCAACAGGTGGATAAACTCTATTTGAGGGCAGCTTCCCAACCCAAGCTGACAGAGAAGACATCCTATGCCCAACTGAAAATTATTCGAAATCATTCCTCGGCAGCATCGGCCACATCATCGAACCATTATCATCAACTCAATGATGAATATGTTACTCTACAACAACAACAACAAAAATCAATGCAAAAACAACATGTCCATCATTTGCCGGTACAGAAGACCTACATCACGCGTACCTTCATCACCAATGGTCACAATGGCCAGCATTTACATCCCAAAGATATGAAGCAGGCCCAAGTAACAGCAACGAATGGAGCGACAACAACGGCTATGTTGTTGGCAAATAATTGCAATAACCTCAAAAACACAACAGCAACAACAACAGGGTTGCCACACAACAACACAGTCGCCGCCGCCACCGCCACCGCAGCAACCATAACTGTCACATCGTATAGTCCCAACCAACTGCAACTACATCCACCATTGGTAATAACCACAGCAGCCAAGCAGCAGCAACAACAACTTCAACAGCACTCCGCAGCCACAACTCCAGCAGCCCCATTACATCACATCAACAATCAATCAAATGGCTCATTGATGGCCAACACCGCCGTCACCGCCACCACCACCACTACGGTTGCTCCACGTTCCATACTGAATGCAATACGCCGTTCCTCGGCCCATTGCGGCCAGCGTCAGACACTGGTGGCCATAACCACAGATTACTCAACCGGTGATGGGGGTTTGACATTGCAAAAAGGTGATATTGTTACGCTGTGTGAATGTCGTGAGACCAAAGATCACCGGCAGTGGTTCTATGTGAGGACACGTGATGGTCGTCAGGGTTATATACCGGCTGAGGTGGCCGGTCATGGTTTTCTGTAAATGGCAATCGGAGATGGAAAGGTAGTTAAAATGGAAAGAAATTTATCCATGGATCATAGATGAATGAAAAAGAGAAAGATAGAATGAAAGAAGGAGACAGGAAGAGAGAGAGAGAGAGAGAGAGAAAGAAAAGGAGACAGAAGGAGTGTAATAGAAAGACAGGAGGGGACATCTCGGCTTAGAACATCCAGCCTAAGGCCCGTTTAGCCATTTTCTTCGAGTCATATGTAAAGTGACTTTTTGCTTTTACAGCATACTTTCAGGCGCTCCACATAATATTAAAAACGAGTAAAAAGGGCTTTAGCTCATCTGAATTAAAATTTGTATACCCTCCACCTTAAAATAACAAAGTTCCGTTATATGGGAATTCTTGTATATTTTTTGGGAGAACTAAAAGAGAGAAACCAAATATGAGAAACCAAAATATCACGGATATAGTTGGAAATTGGCACCAAATCATTGGAAATTCCAAAAATCGGCGTGGGAAAAACCTTTTTGTGCAACTTACAGTCTTCAAAGCTTGTCTTAATAAATATACCCTTAGACTTGAGGCTACAGACACCATATATCTATATACAGGGTGATACAAAAAAACTGCCACAAAGTCTAACGCCATAATTTTAACATTTTTTTTTTTAATTTATTAAATGAAAGCAAAAAATGTCGGAAAAACCATCAAATTTTAGAAAAAGTTTAGATTTATTCGAATTGGTCACCCTTGGCACGAATTATGGCCTTCAAACGGCCAATGAAACTGTCACACGCGGCCCGAATGCTGGTCTGCGGAATTTAGGCGCTTTCCCGGCGAAGCTCTTGCTTGAGGTGATCGACGCATTGGTATTTTTTAGTGCCAACCTTGCTTTCCAAAATACTCCAGACACAATATTCCAACGGATTGGTATCCGGAGATTTTGGTGGCCATTGTGCGCTGGAAATGAAGAGAGGAACCTCATTTTGTAACCATTCTTGGGTGGCGCGTGCTGAGTGCGATGGTACTGAGTCCTGTTGGAATGTCCAAGGTCTGCGACCAAAATGTTTGTGTGTCCAATGCTTTAATACTCCCTCCAGAATATTTTCGTGATAATATTCGGTGTTTATTCTGATGCCACGGTTGATTAATAAGAGCGGAGAGCGACCATCGGCTGTTATGGCGGCCCACACCATCACCATGGCCGGCGCTTGAGTTCTAGTGGCCAACCGAAGGTGTACATTTCCATTTTGTTTGTTTACAAACTGCTGGACAACAAATGTTTCTCATCAGAAAAAAACAAAATCGACAGTTTACCACTTTCGGCCAAGCGAAGTTACTCTTTAGCTCTTTTGAGTCTATTTTCTTTCTGTTGTTGTGTAAGTTCTTGCACTTTTTGGAATTTCAATGGCTTTACCCCGAGCTCATTTTTCAATATTTGCCGAATGGAATATTTCGATATGTTCAGCTCACGAGTCATTTTTCGGCTACTGGTATGCGGGTTTCTTTCAAGTAGCTTCTTTACTTTTCAAACCATTTCTTCTGTTGTTGCTGTTTTCTTCTTTTCTTCTTCAGTATCACGGTAACGAGCGATGGTACGAGACACAAAAGATTTATTTACATTTAAATGCTGGAGTGCTCAAACGATAGCCACTTGTGGTTTTCCAGCCAAATATAAAGAAATCAAATATAGGTCCAAGTTTTGGTACAGCCCTTATTTAAAGACCCTTCCTGATTTTAGATAATGCAAAGGTTTAGCGATTTTCCATTCGATTTTCCTGAACATTACTATTTTAGTTTCTTAATGGGTAGAAAACCCTCCGACAGAAAGTATTGGTATGCCCTCCACCGTAGTATGGAGGGTATATTGAGTTTGTCATACCGCCTGTAACACCTCGAAATATACATTATAGACCCCAAAAAGTATACATATTCTTCATCAGCATAAAATTCTAAAATTCTGTCCGTCCGTGGAAATCACTCTAGCTTCCGAACGAATTGAAGTAGGTTGATAAAATGTTACTCAAATGTACGTTTGGTCTGCAGGACTTTTGGTATTGAAAATGGGCTATATAGGTCAACGTTTTGGTGTAGCCCCCATATAACTGTACCTCCCGATATTCGGTATTTTGATGATGTTAGGGACATTATTCACCGGAATTGTTTCAAATTTGGTATTTGAAGTTCGTAATGGATACTACAGCCTATGACAGAAAATTGCCTGTGCAGGTACAGGTCTTCGTATATCCCTCATATAATGGTACCTCCCGATATTCGGTTTGTTGCTGATTTTAGCTACATTATTCACCGAAATTGTTTTAAATTTGGTATTTGAAGCTCGTCATGGATACTACAGCTTATGACAGAAAAGTGTCTGTGCTGGTTCACGTCTTCGCATAGCCCCCATATAACGGCACCTTCCGATATTCGGTATTTTGATGATTTTAGCTACATTATTCACCGGAATTGTTACAAATTTGGCATTTGAAGTTCGTAATGGATACTACAGCCTAAGACAGAAAATTGTCTGTGCAGGTCCAGGTCTTCGTATAGCCCCCATATAACAGTACCTCCCAATACTCGGTATTTTGATGATATTAATGACATTATTCAACGGAATTGCTTCAAAATTGGTATTTGAAGTTCCTAATGGATACTACAGCCTAAGACAGAAAATTGTACGTGCAGGTCCACGTCTTCGTACAGCCCCCATATAACGATACCTCCCGATATTCGGTATTTTGCTGATTTTAGCGACATTATTCACCGGAATCGTTTTAAATTTGGCATTTGAAGTTCGTAATGGACACTACAGCCTAAAACAGAAAATTGTCTGTACAGGTCCACGTCTTCGTATAGCCCCCATATAACGGTACCTCCCGGTATTTTGATGATTTTAGTGACATTATTCAACGGAATTGTTTCAAATTTGGTATTTGAAGTTCGTAATGGATACTACAGCCTATGACAGAAAATTGTCCGTGCAGGTCCACGTTTTGGTACGTCATGGTACCTCCCGATATTCGGTATTTTGATGATTTTAGCGATATTATTCATCGGAATTGTTTCAAAGTTGGCATTTGAAATTCGTAATGGAAGCTACGGCCTAAGACCGAAAATTGTCTGTGCAGGTCCATGTCTTCGTATAGCCCCCATATAACTGTACCCCCCGATATTCGATATTTTGCTGATTTTACCGGCATTATTCACCGATTTTTTTTCAAATTTCGCATTTGAATATTGTAATGGCTTATGACAAAAGTTGCATATGCAGATCCCATCGTCGTATAGACCCTAATATAACGGCTACATTCGGTATTTTTAAGATTTTAACAGATTTTTTAACGGATGTTATATTTTTCAAAATTGCCAAATTAGTTCCAAATGTTAGAGAGTATTCAAAAGTTTTCCCGGCCTCGGAATTCTGGAATAGCTCCAAAAAATCCATGCTTATTAACTAGGGACATTTTAGATTGTTGGCAACAAAAGCTCGGTGATATAATAAAATAACTGTGGTTCTCTTTCCATTCATCTATGACCCTTTTTAAATCTTTACAAAACATATTGACATGACGTTTGCAAACACTGCCAATACAATATAAAATTTTATTAACAAAAAATCCTCTCTTCTTGAAAAATACAAAATGTAGGATTTGTAATAACTAAATACAAAAACAAATCTTTGAAACGACCAAATGACTAAGTCCCATTTTTAGTAGGGAAAAACATTTCGTAATGTAATTTTTGGAAATTTTCTAAAAATTTCAAAATTACAAAATAGCCGCATAACCGATAACGAAGAAGTATTAACGACAACTCTTAGACATTTACAAGAAGTAGAAGCAAAAACATTCATTAAAATAAGCTCGAATTTAATTATTGATGAAATGTACAATTTTTTTGATAAATAAAATAAAAACAAATACAATTATAGAAAATACAAAACAAACTAACACGAATTTCACATTATTTTATTGTAATTTGTTAAGATCATTTATTATTACTTATTTTTTATTTTTAAATATATTTTGCATAGCAAACGATCGAGTCGCTTAGTCTGTAGTTATGGTTAAAATTTGTAAGAAATGACAAATATTTCATAAGTTAATATTTTGAAAAAAAATATGAAAATTTGTAATTATTTATGTTAAAGTATTTAAATACTAAAATTAAATGAGAAAATCTTCTAAAAAAATATAATATTTAATTGTTACCTCATATCATCAAAAAATAAAAATAAAATAGTTTGGGGAACTTATCACAAAATTGTAAACAAGAAAAAAAGACATAAACTAATTCTTACACACAAACAAACAAAATAAGTCATTATTATAAATACAACAAATAAATAAAATTTACAAAAAAAAATAATAATTCGAAACTTGTTTTATATTTATTGGGTAGCAAGGGGTCTGCAATTTCCGAATAGAATAATTAAAACACATCAGCTATGTAGGTATCCTCAAATGAATATTAGAGCAGTGTCGATATTTATTCGTTGGGATATCGTAGTTTTTCGGTTTGCAAAGACCTGGCCCAAACACATTGTTCATTTATTATTAGGGCAAAATAGCAATGTTTACCTGAGTAAACAGCAATATCAAAATATGGACCGATTTTCACCAATTTCAATAGCGTTCGCCTAACAAATGATCTGTGCAAAATTTCATCACAATCGAACAACAAATGCGACCTGTATTTGCCTATAAATATATATGGACAGACGAACGGACCGAGATGCATAAAGCTATTCAATAAATGCAATTCTATGAAGATCACCAAAAGGAACTTTGGGTCTATCTCGTTCCCTTCTACATGCCCTTCCACAAATGGATAATACGCTATACCATAGTGTGGTGGTGTAGGGTCTAAAAATAAATATTAATATATTTATTAATAACAAATTGAAAGGACAATAATTTTGACCCAGTTGCTAGTCATTATACCCTACACCACGTTGTGGTAAGCGTATTATGTTTTTAGTCATTTGTTTGTTACAGGGAGAAGGAAGAGAGATAGACCAATAGTTACTTTTGATTTTCATAGAATCATTTTCTGAGTCGATTTATGCATGTCAGTCAGTCCGTCTGTCCATCCATCCGACTGTCCATGTATTCTTATGAACAAAATGCAGGTCGCATTTATTATTCGATTGAAGTGAAATTTCCCAATTTTTTTTCCAAATATCTTCAACTGGTTTCGGGTTAATTGTGCACCAAATAACCAATATAAGTCCTAATGACCTGAATTTTAGTACATCCCACCGGATTTAGTCTAGAAACAAGTACCTCAAATTTGGAGGAAATCGGTTCAGACATAGCTATAGCTATAAGTTTTATCCGATTTGGGGTTTTAAGTCTCTCATATGTATGATATGCACTCCACAAGAATGATATTTTGTACCGGACATTAGATACTACTCAAAAATACCTCTTTAAAATTTTATCGAAATCGGTTCAAACAGGGTGAGATAAAAAAAAACTGCAACAAAGTCAAACACCATAAATTTTACTTTTTTTAATTTTATTGAATGAAAGCACAAAAAGTCGGAAATAGCATCAAATTTTAGAATAAGTTTCGATTTGGTCGAATTGGTCACCTTTGGCACGAATTATGACCTTCAAACGGCCAATGAAACCGTCACACGATGCCCGAATGTTGTTCTGCGGTATTTTGACCCTTCCCGACGAAGCGCTTGCTTGAGGTGATCGACACTTTGGTAGTTTTTAGTACCAACCTTGCTTTCCAAAATACTCCAGACACAATAGTCCAACGGATTGGTATCCGGAGATTTTGGTGGTCATTGTGCGCCGGAAATGAAGTGAGGAACCTCATTTTGTAACCAATCTTGGGTGGTGCGTGCTGAGTGCGATGGTACTGAGTGCTGTTGGAATGCCCAAGGTCTGCGGCCAAAATGTTTGCGTTCCCAAGGCTTTAATACACCCTCCGGAATATTTTCGCGATAATATTCAGCATTTATTCTGATGCCACCGTTGATTAATACGAGCGGAGAGCGACCGGATGTTATGACGGCCCACACCATCACCATGACCGGCGCTTGAGTTCTGGTGGCCAACAGAAGGTGCACATTTTCAGCTGACCTCTTTGGCAAGTAAACACTCTGCTCTTTTGAGTCTATTTAAGTCTTTTGCGGTGCAAATTCTTGCACTTTTTGGAATTTCAATGGCTTTACCCCGAGCTCAGTTTTCAATATTTGGCCACTGCGACGCGGGTTTCGATCAAGTCGCTTCTTCACTTTTCGACCATTTCTGCTGATGTTGCTTCCGTCCACTTTCTTGACGTAGGTACTGGCTACGCTACCAGTATCACGGTAACGAGCGATGGTACGAGACACAAAAGATTTATTCACATTTAAATGCTGAAGTGCTCTAACGATAGCCACTTGGGGTTTTCCATCCAAAAATATAAAGAAATCACACCATCACGCTTGAATTCCATCACGAATAACTTTTTTTGTGGAAAATTCCCACCAAAATGCTTTTGTAAGCTTGTAAACAAACAATGACCTGTCGCTATAATAATTTAAACAGCTGTCGGACGCGCGACTTAGAAATGACAGCAGTCTGAATTTGGTTGCAGTTTTTTCATCTCACCCTCTTTTATCCGTTAAAAGTTTAGTATTGGTCGTTAAAAGTTAGAAAGTTTTTCAATGTAAAAAGTAGCTACCTTCCTTTTTTTAGAGCTCTAATAAACATATATGAAGCAAAAGTATTCAAATGCAAAGCATACTTTAGGGCGCATGAAATTATTACTCAAATACATCACTTTACAACACTGGTTTATCTCCAAAAGGAATTTGTCGAGGTATTTAAAACCATATCATTTGTAATTCGAGATTTCTATTTGTATTTCAAAAAAATTATTTGTATTTCGGGAACTCTATTTTCAATTTTAGACAATGACATTAAACAATAAAATTAATTAAATTTGAAATCCAGCAGATTATGAAAGTAGAGGTAAACAAATAGAAGAGAAGCTTATGGGCGTTTTGAAAGTCTACATGGCCAAGTAACCTAAATTGAAGCGACAAATTCACCCACCCCCCTCTTCTATTTTTTTTAGAAATAAGATTCCTTGATATCCTTGTATTTTAAGTAAGTACTTTACTCGGCAATATAGCAAATCACGATACGAGGACTATTTTGGTCAAAAAATTGCAACCCTCTATCAGTTCACCAAAGGAGTCTTATTGGTCTTATTTTTTAAATATAGTTACAAATTTTCTTATTAAAAAATTATTAAAATATAGCTTTTACCTCATTCTTATACCCAACACCATAGCATGGAGGTTATATTAAGTTTGTCATTCCGTTTGTAACACCTCGAAATATACATTTTATACCCCACAAAGTATATATATTCTTGATCAGCATAAAATTCTATGTCGATTTAGCGATGTCCGTACGTCTATCCGTCTGTGGGAATCACTCTAGCTTCCGAACGAAATGAATTAGATTGATAAAATTCTACTCAAATGTGTATTATGTCTGCAGGATTTTTACCATATAATGGTACCTCTCTTTTTTGGCGTTTGGAGTTCAAAATGAATACTACAGCCAAAGACAGACAATTGTCTTAGCAGGTCTATGTCTTCGTATTGCCCCCATATAACGGTACCTCCCTATATTCGGTATTTTAATGATTTTAGCGACATTATTCATCGGAATTGTTTCAAATTTGGTATTTGATGTTCGTAATAAATTCTGCAGCCCGAGGCAGAAAAATTTTGAGCAGAAATTTGAATATTGGAATGGCTTATGACCAAAGTTGCCTATGCAGGTCCACGTCGTCGTTTAGACTCTAAAATGACGCCTACATTTGGTATTTTTTTGAAAATTGCCAAATTCGTTCTAAATGGTGGAGGGTATTCAAAGTCCAGCCCGACCGAACTTATAGGTTTTTTGCTTGTTTTAGTTTATTTACCCCTCACATCACATTTTCTCCGAATATAAATTAAGATTTTTGCCCACACACTATGCACTCTCTAACTTTTTTTAATATATATTTTATTAGTTTTTTATGTATGTATTTTTTATTTTTATATAATTTTTTATTTAAATTTAATACATAATTGTTTAACAATTTAATTTAAAATGTATATTTTGTATATATTATTTCATTAAATTTTCAATTCTTATAAATAATGTAAATAATTCTTATTCTCTAATAATTAAACATGTGTTTCATTTTTAAAAATAATTGCTTTTTGTTTACAGAGAGAAAAAACACTTTGAGCAGTGATTGATTTTGAATCGATATTTGTTTTTTTTTTCAAAAAAAATTTGGCCAATTGTTATAGGTTAGGTTTTTTGTATATTATGAATTGAGAGTTTGTGAATGTAAATTTATTGCCTTTGTTTTGGTAATGGGGCCATTGACGTTTGTAATTTCGAAATATATTTTTTTATTTTTTGTTTGTTATTTTAAATCTTTTTATTATTTTTCACATTTATTTTACTTTTTTTTTCTTAAATATTACACTTTTAGCATAGATAGATTTTAAATCGATAATTTTGTTAAAAAATAAAAATTTGGCCAATTTGTATAGGTTAGGTATTTGCATTTTAAGAATTGAGATTTTTTTTTTTTCAATAAAAATGTATTGCCTTTGTTTCGTAAAGGGACCATTGTTGTATGTAATTTTGAAAATTTGTTTCATATTATTTATTAATTTACTATTTCTTGAAAAATTGTTTATTTGTTTTTTTTTTTAATTTCTTATATTTTACTGTAATATGTTTGCATGTTTTCATGAATTCAATATTTTATAAATTTCTTAAAAAAATTCAAATATATCGCATAATTTTCTCACTCAATCTTATATTACGTTATTCGATGAAATCTTGTTTTGAAGATCTATTGTTTTTTGTATATCCACTGACATGGCATGGAAATAAGGTAAGTCGTAGGGGTCTAATACTTGTTGTAGTTTTAGGTTATATGTATTATATATGATTTTTCACATTGAGTCATTAACCCCATGTGACTTGGGACTTACTTATTTTATCATCCTAATACCATGATATGTTATGTTTTTTTTTTCATTTTGCATATTGTCTATAAATATATGTGTATTTTAAAAATGCTTATTTTATAAACATGGGAAGAGAGGATGAAGGTAATTTGTGTATGTTTACATGTGGGTAGGTACTTTTTTCAATTTCAATATTTTTTAAGATAATTTTTAGGGGGGCTATAACTCGAAAAAAAATAGAGAAATCTTATAAAAATTAATATTTATTAAATATTTTAAAGGATGCTGATATAAATACCAGAAAGCTGTAAATTTCAGATAAAATCCAGAAATCAAACATTTGTTTAATAGTTCCAAAATAAAATGGTTGTAGGGCCTAATTCTATTTGACGATAGGAAAATGAACTCGAAAAAACACTATTTCAATTTTAGAGTTGAATTAAAAATTTTAAAACACACATTTGGAGTGGTGTTTTCATTTCCTTGGACCTTGAAGCCCGATTACACATTATGTTAGAGTCTTATGTAAAGTTAACTTTTTCAAATTTTTATAGCATACTTTAGGGAGCTCCCAACAGTTTTTAAACTCAAAAGTAACGCTATATACCGCCATATAACACTATTCTTTTTAACTAGTACCTATTTCGTGAATGACATGACCTAGCTTACATCTGATTTGAGAGATAACTATTTTTGTCCGTCCGGAAAATATTGCGACATTACTTTTAAAATTATAGTAATGTTGCAGAAGGTGTTAGAAAGTTGTCGTAGGGATTTTGGAAGATTCGAATTAAAACCAGTTAAAAAGCAGTAGGTTCGGCCGGGCCGAACTTTGAATGTCCTCCACCATTTGGAACGAATTTGAAAAAATCAAAAAAAAAAAAAAAAAATTCGTTAAAAATTCTGTTAAAATCTTAAAAATGCCGAATATAACCGAACCATATTAAAATTCGGAACTTGATATAAAAGTTGAATAGTGTACCTAAAATTATCAAAATACCGTATATAGGGAGGTACCGTTATATCGGAGTTATACGAAGACCTGGGCCTGCATAGACAATTTTCTGTCGCAGGCTGTAGCATCCATACGAACTTCAAATACTACATCTCAAACAATTTCGGTGAGTATTCTACCTAAAATTCTAAAAATACCGATTATAGGGAGGTACTGATATATGGGGCCTATACGAAGACCTGGGCCTGCATAGACAATTTTCTGTCACAGACTTAAGTTCCCATTACGAACTCTACATACGTAATTTGAAACTACTCCGGTTAATAATGACGCTAAAATCATCAAAATACCGAATATTGGGAGGTATCGTACAGACAATTTTCTGTCATAGGCTGTAGAATCCATTTCGAACTTCAAATACCAATTTTGAAACAATTCCGGTGAATGATGTCGCTAAAATCATCAAAATACCGAATATCTGGAGGTACCATCATATGGGGACTTAACCTACCTATTGGCAGGGCTAATTTTAGACGTTTGGTGCCCAATAAAATACAAATCGGACAAAGATATATATGGGAGCTATATCCAAATCTGAACCGATCTCGATCAAATTTGGCAAGGGTATTTCTAAGCTATATTTGATATATGTCCCAAATATCGTTGATACAGAGTGCATATTACGCCTGCGGAGGACAAAAATAACAAATCGGATGAACAATATTTATGGCAGCTATAGCTTTTTCGATTAAATTTGGTTCGTCCTTGGGTCAAATCAATGATTTGTGCAAAATCTCAAATCTCTCTCTTTTTTTACAAAAATACGTGGACTGACGGACGGACGGACGGACAGACATGCATAAATCGACTCAGAATGTGATTCTATGAAGATCAGAAGAACTATGGGATCACCTCTTTTCCATTTGCCTGTTACAAACAAATGCACAAAAACTATAATAAGCTGACCATCTGGTGGTGTAGGGTATTACAAGAAAAAAAATTATGGGCGATTGAAAGAGAAGATCTTTTGACAGTCTTCCAGAAAAAGTTTTTTTTTTAATCAACACTGAAGTGGGAAGATGTTTAGGAGAGGCTTTTCATGTGATGTTATTTAAAAGTAAATTTTGTAGAGGTTATCCATTATTCAGAAACTTTTAGGGTATTAAATAAAAAAAACTGTTATCTATGGACTTGAAAATATGTAGAGATCAAAGAACCTCAAGGGACTTCTTAAGAGGAAAATTTTTGATATCTTCCTGAAAAGGGCCTTTTAGAGGAGTCCATTTGAGAGAAGGCGGTTTTGATGATATCTTCTATAGAACGAAAAAGGATACCTTTAAGAAGTGCTTTATGTAAACATTTTTGGGTAGATGGATAATACAAAAAAGTTCCTCTATAGACAGCAGAAGTTTTTTTCTTTTTAGGAGGACAGAAGACCGTTATGAGACTTTCCTAGTGCATTAATAAAAAAGGAGATTTCACAGATGTGAGTAATTAAGAGAAAATATTTTCGTAAAACAAAAATTCACATTATTTTCAATTCGAGCTGTAGGACATAATTTATATTTAAAATATATGTTTTATTTCATTTTATAGGTTTAAACAAAAGAAAAACTTAAAATAATTCAAAAATAAAACAAAAAAATATACAAAGAAATGAGGTTTAATAAAATTTACAAAAATCTATTTCAATGAAAATAGTCTTCATTCAATGAGCAAAATGTGAGCAAATTAAAATAATATCTGCAATTAAAAAAATATCTTACAAAACAAAATGCACAATTAACCTAAAAAAAGGTTAATAATTATGCATTAACCTATAAACTAAAATATATAAATACAATTCTGAGAAATCTTGTTTTCTTCATGAAATTTAAATGTGAATATAATTACAAAATATATAAAACAATGATAGTACGTTAAGCGAACCCTATGCGATAAAAATTTCGTAAATTCAAAATAAAATAAAAATTCACAAAAGGAACTCTGATAAAAGTGACATATGACATACTTCTAGCAGAGATCGTTAAACGGAGCACTTAAAACTAAAGGGTTTTTAAATGTTATTCGCTTTGCAAAAAATTTTTTGAACAAACTCCTTAATAAAATTCCTAGGGGGTATTATTGAGTGAGTTGCTTTTCTTCTCGGGGAGTTTTTTTTTTTTTTGATATCCTAAAAAAATATTGTCCTTTTTTCTATGAATTTATGACACTTATATTACTAAAATGTATGTATATCCCCCATTTATTTAGCCATTGCTTGAGCAAATCTCTTGTTCACGCTTAAACAGACTTTTCTTTTTCGCAACGTATATCTATGTATGATGATAATATTCTATGAAACCCCTCTCTAACTTATTTTATTTGTTTGGAGCTGGTTGATGGTGAGGCTGTCGATGCATTATCATTATTATCATCCGCTATACTGGCACTACAGACCGCATTGTTATCTTCATTTTCAGTCTCATCACCACCTCCTCCCACATCGGGTGGTAGACATTTCTTCAGTAACACTTCCATGGTTTTCAAATTACTGGGTTTCTCTTCATCACGATTTATATTCAACATTGAATCGTTCATACGATGATAATGGGGTTTTTGTGAGGTGCTTGGTCGCGAGTAGTCCAGGTGATCGTATTCATCTGTTGGGGAAAATAAAAAAAAAAATAAAAAATTACTTTAATAATGAAGAGAAATTTTTATATTTTATAAACGGGATGGAGAATTATGAAAGTCTACAAAACAAAAATATGGGGTAAAAACATAAAAATTTTACAATAACACCACAAAACTTCAAAATAATTGTGTTAAATTTGTTACTTTTTTGTACAAGTGCACGAAACTACCCTTTGGATCAATAAGGGTCCTTAAAAATGAATATTCCTATAAGAATATGTCGTTTGAAATAAAACAGCAAATATTGAGACATTATGACAGATATTGGTTAACTCAACTGATTCGACTTTTTTTTCAAGATTTAATTCACAAGCTTCGATTTTATCAGGATAAAAACAATTATTTCATATATTAAAAATTTTGGCCCATTCTGGAGGCCCATCAACCAAAGGGAGATTTACCAAGTAAAAAAGTATCGTTCGGTTTTGTCGACAGATTTATACCCTCAGCCAATGTTCGATTACTTAAATATATTTTAAATTCTGTTGAGGTTTTTCAAAATGGTGACACTCTACGGAGTGGGTTCCCAAGGAATGGACCAATATTGTCAATTTCGTATCGTACGTGCAAGGTTTGGACTACATTCGTTACTTCCTTTACTTTACAGGATATATGTGATAATTTTTATAAAATGTTAAAATGTGCCTGAGTTATCAGATATAGTCGACCGAAGTATTCCATTTTCACACGTTATCTAATACAGATAAAAACATTGGTATGGGCAAAATTACAAGAAAATTGAACATTTATATCAAATTTTATGCGAAGTCATAAATTCCATATTCATCTCAGGTTTCGGGTTGGGAGAAATGTTTAGATATTTCAAAGAATCGCCGATTTACATCGCAAGTTATGACAGATATAAGTATTGGAAATTGTAAGCCTTTGTGGATGATGTTCCAGAAGCTGTTCGCAGATAAATACCATCTTCACAAAGGAGAGAGCTGGATGCTTATTTCGCTTTCATTGAGCATTTTGTTTTCAAAAATCTTGAACCCTAGGTGGGGGTGATACCAGAAGAAATGGTCCGATATCTACCTTCTTTATAACAGATCTTGTGTTGATAGAAAAATTGAGATGTGGCAAGTCTGAATGGAATCCGATGTTAATTTCCCGTTGTATGAGCTTCATGAATATTCAACATTTTTACCCTTTGTGGGGGAGGTACCACAAGGAGTGGACCGATATATCCAAATTTCACACCATAAAAATATGGGTGTAATTTTAAGAGAACCGGATGCTTATTTCGGATTTTATGATCGTTTTGATTATGCACAACTTTGATGATTGATGTACCAGAAGGAGTAGGCCGTTATAATCCATCTTCACAATTTGATGAGAACCCGAATGCTTATTTCGGATTTTATGATCGTTTTGGTTATTCAAAACTTGGATCATTTGTGGTGGAGGTACCAGAAGAAATGGTCCGATCTCTACCATCTCTATAACAGATCTTGTGTTGATGGAAACATTGGGATGTACTAAGTCTGAATAAAATCGTGTGTTAATTTCACGTTTTATGAACTTCGTGGGAGGAGGTACCAGAAGGAGTGGACCGATATATCCCAATTATATACCAGACCTTGTGTTAATAAAAATTTTGTGACGGGTGTAATTTGAAGAGAACCGGATGTTTATTTCGGATTTTATAATCATTTTGGTTATTCAAAACTTTGACCATTTGTGGGGGAGGTACCAGAAGGAATGGTCCGATCTCTACCATTTCCAAAACATATCTTGTGTTGATAGAAATATTGAGATGTACCAGGTCTGAATAGAATCGGATGTTAATTTTGTGTTTAATGGCCTACATGAATATTCAAAAATTTGGTCATTTGTGGGGGAGGTACCAGAATAAGTGGGCCGATATATCCAAATTTCACACCAGACCTTGGGTGAATAAAAATTATGTGATGTGTGTAAATTGAAGTCAATCCGACTCTTACATCATATTTTAAAAGAGTTATAATCATTCAAAATGTTGGCCTCTGTGGGGGAGGTACTTGATTGAGTGGACCGATATTGTCCATTTTCACAACTGACCTAGCACTGATGCAAATATTAGTATTTGCAAATTTGGAGTAAAATCGGATTAATCTTTCGCTTTATGTGCAGTAAAATATTTTTTTTGTTGAAAATTTCAGCCAGGTACTAGAAGGAGTGGACCGATATTGCCATCTCCCAACTAGATCTAAGTTTGATAATAATATTACGATTGGACCAAATTGGATACTCTCTCCGAGAGTTATCATGCGCACCAGCCAGACAGGAAGACAGACAGACGGACATCGCTAGATCGACTTCAAATGTCCTGAAACGGATTTGGTCCAAAGACACTTGGGGTCGAAAACTGCTATTTCGACTAGGCCGTTTCAAATGATATATACCCTCTCTAGTCATATGGCTGAGAGTATAATTAAGATGTGTAAAGTTTGAAATAATTCGGATATATTCCTTATTTTAATAAGTTAGCTTCTTCGAAATGTTTGATCTTTTGTTAAGGGAGATAACAGAACCAATGGTCGTTTTTTCCATTTCCGAGCTCGATAAAAAATTTAATTGAAATATTTAGATGTACCAAATTTTGACGAAAGATTGTAAACAGACAGACTGATCCACAGACATACATGACTTGATCGGCTCCAACGGATTTCGTCTACCGACACCTAGGGTCTAAAACCGTTTTTTCGTTCGTAAAAATGATATATACCCTTTGTAGCCAGATCGATGAAGACATATCCACTACGGTCTATAAGCAATATTGTGTGATTGGGGAATAGGAAAGCCTCCTCCATATTTTTTTTTTTAAATTTTCAGATTAAGATTTCTGGGAATCCTTGCATTTTAGGTATATAATGTCTATGGTATTATTACAGAAAACCAGACGAGAACAATTTTGGTTAAAAATGGTAATTTTGAAGCGAGTCACAAAAAAGGTCTTTTTTCGATAAGAACTGTTCTTTTATTTTCGAATAATATAGCACTTTTTCCGAATTCGCTGAAAATTTTTCTGTGGACCTATATTGATATTGATGTTATTTTTCTAGTAGCGTTTCAACATAATAAGAACTCAACAAAGCAACATTTGGAAATGGATAAAAATAGCCATAGAAACTTTAACAAATACTTTGCCCTACTTTTTTACTTTCATTTGCTTTATTTATTGTTTTATTAAAAAATTATTAATAAAAAAAGAAGTTAAAAAATAGGGACTATACGAAAAAGTGTATCGACCCATGGCAAAATTTTTTAAACCAATGTTTCTTTAAGTAATCCCAAGCTGCCTAATAAATTGTCAACGCTTAATCATCAATTTCATCAAGTAGCAAACTCACAGTTCAGCTAAATTTAAAAATAGCTACAAATTTGACAGATGTGTACTTCTATGGTACAAAGACGACATACATCTTTAATTATTCAAACCACGCTTTAAATTTTCAACAAACTAAACTCTTTCCTCATTTTTGGAATAAATACACAAATAAAACAAACAATAACAACAACAACATAATTTAAACAACACAAAAAAATGCAATTAAACAAATTAAATACGCACATGGCCAGGCATTTAAAAAAGGTGGAAGAGGGCTTGTGTTGTGATTGAAACTTGAACTTGACATGATATTTATCTTCTTACCCTCGGGGAATAGAGTTTTGTTATAATTTTTAACTGCAGCCATTAAATTGTTATTGAAATGCATTTAGAAATATACAAATGAAAGTGAGAGAGAAAGCGTTATGAGAGATGATGTTTTAAAACAAGTGAATACCAAAAAACAATGTAAAACAACTTACCCGGATCCTTGTAACCCTCTTTCTGTTTAATTTCATCATAGACATGTTCCTCCTTTAGGCCTTCCAATGAATTGTACACTGTGGGATTGGTCAGATCGGCATTGAAATTCTTGGCAAACATGTCGTGATTGTAGTTAATGGAATAGGTGCCGGCTAGGAAAATAAAAAGTTAAGAATTATTAAAAAAATTTTTCTTTTTCCTTTATTTTGAAACCTTACCTCTACTACTGGCATTCGAATCATCGGCATACATATCCCCACCACAATTAAGATTATTAATTTTAGGTCTAAGATTATTCAATAGCCGAGTTTCCGAATTGTTGGCCTGCATTCCATACACAGGATTATCGAAATTATGACGATCTGGCCAACCTTGTGTGGGATCGCTGATGTATTGAACATGGGCAATTTCTGTTTTGAGATTGGACACCCTTCGCCGATAATAGAATATAACAGCAATAATAATGGCCACAAAGAGTATAGCCAATGAAAGACCCCACGCTAAGCCGGCACGACCTGCTGAAAATAAATGCAATTGTATTAAATATTGAAATAAAAATTAAAAAGAAAAAAATTCGAAAGAATAAAAATTCAACGAATTGTTTAAAATTTTTAGAATCAAGTATTCCAATCTGGTATTTGAAGGACTTGTTATTTAATCTCTTAGGGATTAAACAGTTCAAAACCCCGATTCGAACTCACTCAATGAGAGATTTTCCTTGTCTATATTTTGTAGGGAAATGATAGCCTTTACGATTAATCCTAATAATTTTACTTATAAAACTTTAATTCTTATATATTTCCAGAAACCTACACTATCCAACTTGAATAATATACCTTTTATTATACCCTCGGCCATATGGCTGTAGATGGTATATATTATTTGATACGGCTAAAACGTGCCTCATCGAAATAATGGTTTTAGATTCTAGGTCTTTTTGGACCAAATCCGTTTTAGGATATTTAGAGGCGATCTGGTGGTGTCCGTCTGACTGGCTGGCTAGTGCGAACGATAACCCTCGAAGATATTATCCGATTTGATTCAAACTTGGTTCCTTCATAATACTATAGTCAAACTTAGATCGAGTTCGGAGATGGACAATATTGGAATAACGGATTTAGACTAAGTTTTTTCGGGCCTAATCCGTTTTGGGACATTAGAATAGATTTAGTGGTGTCCATCTGTCTGGCTGGCTGGTGCGAGAGATAACTCTTGCAGATGGTATCCGTTTTGATCCAAACTTGGTTTCTTCGCATTTTATTATCAAACTTAGATCGAGTTCAGAAATGAACAATATCGGGCCACTCCTTCTGGTACCTTTCCCACAAAAAAGGACAAAAAATTGTATAGAAATATAGAAAAGAACAGAAAATAATTTTCCAAAATGGGATCATTAATTTTGTGCAAACATTGGAAATCTGAATATTTTTATCAGTCCTAGGTCAGGTGCGATAATTGCCATTATTGGCCCACTTCATCAAGTACCTCTTCCAAAAAGGGTCGACGTTTTGAATAATTATTAATCTTATAAAATTTGAAATATGAGTCCGATTGCCTTAAAATTTATCATATCCCACTAACAATTATTCGCATAAGATTGAAAATAAATGTTCGGTTTTCTTTATATGCCTCACAAACATTTGTCCAAACATCATCTCATATCTTGAATAAATGGATGGAGAAGTATTGTCCATATCTGGTACGTTATAATATTTATATCAGATTCATGTCAGATACGAAATGGACAATAATGGACCACTACTTCGGAGACTTTATGGTCATCAGTTTGAATAATCATAACGCAAATCAAAATATATTTTAGTAAATGGACGTTGACAGGGGATATACATTTGTCGGCAATACTGATTGATACTTTAAAGTGTTTTTTATTCTAATAAATACAAAATCGAACTTACTATCACGCTCGGCCTCCTGGATATGCTGCTCAGCCTTGGTTAAATCACAATTTGGTCCGGTAAATCCTTTGCGACACACACAGCCATCAGTGGCCTGGCAAACGAAATTGGGTGAGGCACATTGGCAGGAACGCATGCAGTGTTCGCCATAGAAACCTTCGGGACAAACTAAAAAAATATAGAAAATCGAAATTAAAATATATATGTTTTTTTTTTTTTGAAAAATCATCAAGGTAATCACCTTCATCACACCGCGTACCCATCCATCCAGGTTTGCACAAGCACAAACCATCATTCTTACGGCAGCCATTATCATTTTGACAATGACATTCCTGTGAACAATTCTGTCCATAATAACCATCCGGACAGGTCATATTACAACTCTGTCCCGTCCATCCGGGCATACATTGGCAGACGCCGGTAATGTGATTACATTCTCCACCATGATAGCAGTTACATTTTTTCGTACAACCAGGACCATAATAACCCGTTGGACATGGGTGTTCACATGTCAGACCAATATAACCATCGCGGCAACGTATTTCACCAGTTATGTGATCGCAACTCTTATTGCCATGCACAATTGTGGGGCATTTCTCTTTGCATCCATTGCCATAGGAGCCCTCTTCGCATGGCTTGGAACAATCCTCACCGGTCCAGCCGGCCGCACAGATACAACGTCCCGTATCCGGATCACATGACGAGTTATTTTTACATCTGCAAACTTGATCACAATTTTCACCATAATAACCTGGTTTACAGTTGGTCTCACAATGAACGCCTTCAGAGGTTTAGTTTTTTTTTGTTTCGTTTTGTAGTTTTTAACAATTTTTAACGCAATAAAAAGATAACGTAAACATAACCCAACACACAGCAGGCAAAATGAAGCGGGGATAAATGGAATAAAAAATATAATAAAATAAATTAAATAAAGAAATTAATTAACTAAAACTTAAGATTACTGTAATGATATAAGATATAATTCTAGGACAAGTTTTGGAAGTATTAAACATGATTTGTAAGGGCGTGGTGTTTACGTAACCACATTCACAAAAAATAACCTTCAAAGTCTGTGTTGTCAAAAAATATTTATTAAAATCCACTATTATAAATCGAATAGCCAAAGCTATCGAATAGAGCTTTAATCATTGATTTAATTTAATTTTTTTTTTTTTTTTGGATTTTGAGAATATATTTTGAAAGACAATAGAGGCACAAAATATGAATTTTTAAAAAGTATTTTCGTGGATAAAGTAGATTTTCATAGGAAGTTTTTTCAAAGCCACTAAATGGAGCTATAAATATATATATTCTTTAAAATTTTTTGAGTGACTTCAGAGATAGAAAAATTTTAAAGAAAACCCCATCGAAGGCAAACTTATTGGCTTTGATTTCTTAAAAACCTTTTGTTATGAAAATCCACGGAAAAATTATTGAAAAATACATGTTCTATGCCTGGCTTTAAAAAATACATTTTTCCGAGGATAGGCATATTCTCTTTTCATTGCTAGCAAATGGGACTTTTAATGGATTTTTTAAAATTTGTTAAGGGACTATCAGAGCTTAAAAAAAATCCATAATTAGTGTCGTATTTGTTGGCCTTGAAAAGATCCCCTTGAAAAGATCCCCATCTAGTGGTTTTGACGATCCCTGGAAAAATAATATTTTAAAATCCATGTAATGTGCCTCTGTTGCACCTTAAAAAATATTACAGCAGATTATGAAACTAAAACTAAAAATACAAAATACCTAAATCGCCGTTTTCAAAGTTTACATCGTAAACTAACCAAAATAGAGGGGGCATGGTCCTCTCTCTTCCACATTTTTGGAAATTTTCGCCCAAAGATTGCTTGGAATCCGTTCATTTTAGGTATACAGAGTGAGATGAAAAAACTGCAAACAACTTCAGATTGCTGTTATTTCTAAGCCACTTGTCCGACAGCTGTTAAAATTATTCCAGTGACAGCTCATTACATTGTTTACAAGCATACAAAAGCATTTTGGTGAGAACTTTCCAGAAAAAAAGTTATGCCTGATGGAATTCAAGCGTGGTATTGTGATTTCTTTATATTTGGCTAGAATACCACAAATGGCTATCGTTAGAGCATTCCAGCATTTAAATGTGAATAAATCTGTTGTGTCTCGTACCGTCGCAATATCAGCAAAAATGGTTCGAAAAGTAAAGAAGCGACTTAATCGAAACCCACGTCGCAGTGGCTCAAATCTCAAAAATGGCTCGCAATATTCCATTGGGTAAATATTGAAAAATGAGCTCGGGGTAAAGCCATTGAAATTCCAAAAGGTGCAAAAACTTACACCGCAACAGAAGGAAAATAGCCGAAAGTGGTTAACTGCCGAATTTTGTTGGAAAACATTCGTTGTTCAGCACCTGAACTCAAGCGCCGGCCATGGGATGGGCCGCCTTAACAGCCGATGGTCGCTCTCCGATCGTATTAATCGACCGTGGCATCAGAGTAAATGCCGAATATTATCGTGAAAATATTCTGGAGGGTGTATAAAGCCATGGGCATGCAAACATTTTGGCCGCACACCTTGGACATTCCAACAGAACTCAAACCATCGCACTCAGCATGCGCCACCCAGGAATGTTTACAAAATGAGATTTCTCGCTTCATTGTGAGGTTCCAGCGCACAATGGCCACCATGTGTCGATCACCTCAAACAAGCGCTTCGCCGGGAATGAGCCAAAATACGGCAGAGTAACATTCGGGCAGCGTGTGATTCGAACAAATATAAACGTATTCTATAATTTGATACTATTTCCGACATATTTTGCTGTCATTCAATAAAATTAAAAAGATATGTAATAATTATGGCGTTTGACTTTGTTGTGGTTTTTTATCTCACCCTGTATATGAATTTTAGCCGTTCAGACTCTTGATGTCTTCTGGGACCTATAGTCGAATTGTATGAAATCTACTTTAAAATTAAGTTTTTGTCCATTTTTTAAAGAAGCAAAAAGTTGACTTGCTTGAGAACCCAATAATAAAGAATTCTGTATTTTTATCTCTAATACAAAAATTACCGGATTCCAAGCAATCCTAAATTCAAAAAAAAAAAAATGTGGAAGAAGGGAGGATATTGTCCCCTCTATTTAGGTGATTTTGCGACATAATCTTTTAAAATTCCGATACATGAGTTTTTTTTGTATTTGCTTTACTTACATAATCTGTTGGATTTATACTGTAATTATTGAAAAAAAATATATTTTGTCGCACAGTTTTATAAAAACTCCCTGTTTGGTGTCTTGTATGGCATTTGAAAACATATTTTTGAAAATCACAAAATTTTAAAAAAAACATCCATGATTAAAGTCACCTTTGGAAAAACTTATAAAAATCCCCATATGGTGGCTATAATAAATTCAGGAATATTCTTTGAAAAAATATTTTTTTCAAGATTTCATCTTTGGTTACCCTAATAAGACTTGAAAAATTCATGTTTTCTGTCGTTCATTTAAAAATATTTAAAAAAAACATGTTTGGTGGTCTTGATAGTCCTTGCAAAAATATTTTTAAAAAATCCACAATAGATGTCTCTTTAGGCCCTTGAAAAAAATATTCTTAAAAATCCTCGTATGGAAGCTCTACAAGTCCATCAAAAAATGTATAACTCTAACAGTCTTTAAAAATATTTTTTAAATAATTCACATTTGGGGGCCCTACAGTCCCTGAAAGTATACCCTTAATAAATTTGGTAAAAAGGATAAATGGCTCTGAAAGTCGTAGAAATAAATTTTCATAAAATAATCTCGTTTGGTGGCACGAATGGTTCTTATAGCTCCAGTCGTTCTTTACAAGTGGTCTCCAATCAGTCTTCGATTATAGCTCTAATAGTCTTTCAAAAAAAACTTAAAAAATCCTATATTGTGATCCTTATAGACCATAGAAATCAGTCCTCAAAAATCGCTTTTAATAACGCTGATAGTCCATCAAAAAATATTCCTTAAAAGTTCAAGTTGATAACCCTATAAACATATTCTTTAAAGTCGCCAATTTTAGTTCCAACAATCCTTTAAAAATTGTTCCTCAAATGATATGTTTGCAGAATAGACAGTGCCCTTAACTTGGTCTATGCTCAAAATTTTTACCATCAGAAAACCATAACCGGTCTCTGAGGAGGATGACTTCCATGTTTTTTTTTAATTTTCCAAAACTTGTTATTCTCTTCTTAACTACCAACATGCTATTAATTCATAACTCATGCAAAAATGTGAAAGTATTAGGTTTTTCTTATGAGAAATGTATGTGGTGTTCGGGTAAATGAATGGAGAGAAAGGGGGTTTAAAGATTCTATTATATCTCTTATTAGGAGTTTGGGAAGTAGATGAAAATGTGTTTCGTGTTCTTGAGAATAGAAATCCATCACCAATTTTTCAGAAAAGTGTGTTTTGTGAAACCTTAAACTAATGAAACTTTATGTTCAGCATGAAATTGAGAATTAGAAGAAAATGTCTATACCTCCCCATCCCTGCTTGCAAATACATTTGCCATCGGAACTTTCACAGGCAATTGTATTGTTGAAATCACATTCACACTGTTGGGCACAGTCCTGACCGAAAGTGCCAAAATCACACTTTTGCTCACACTTGGCACCCTTATAACCGGCCGGACAGGTACATTTGCCATCTGTGGGATTACAGGCCGCATTATTCTTACAATCACACACACTAACACAGTCCTGGCCATAATGATTCGAGTCACAGGGGCGATCACATTTCAGATTCTTCCAGCCGGGCGTACAGAAACATTGTCCCGTTTCGGGTGCACATTTTGCACCATTTTGACAATCACATGGCAGGGCACAATCTTGACCATAATAACCCTCATCGCATGGCTCTTCACAGGTGTCACCCTTGTAGCCAGGGGCACAAATACAGGTACCATTAATGGGATTACATTTTGCATTATTTTTACAATTGCAGTTTAGTTCACAATTCGCTCCATATTTAAGGAAGGGACATGGCCGGTTACATAGGGTACCACTCCAGCCCACCTGGCAAAGGCATTTTCCCGTCTCAGGATGACATAGTTCGGTGTATTGCATTTCACATTCACATGATTTGGTACAATTGATGCCATACTCATTGTCAGGACAAATTCGAGTGCCACAATCTTCACCCTTCCAACCGGGACGACATTGGCAAACACCCGTTGCCTTATCACAGGTGGCATCATTTAAACATTGACATTCCTGGGTACAATTTAGGCCATATGTATTCGAGGGGCATTCATCAAAACACCTATCTCCCATATAACCAGCTGGACATTCACATTTTCCGCTAATATGATGACAGGGTGCACCTTTGAAGCATTCGCAGGGTTCTTCGCAATTCGGTCCGTACGTACCGGTGGGACATTTGTTGGCACACACATCTCCCGTCCAACCCGGTGGACACATACATTCACCATTCTGAGGATCACATTTACCATCATTTTGACAACGACAATCCTGTTTACATTGGGCGCCATGTTTGCCATCTGGACACTGGTCTTCACATCTTGTTTTTTGTTTCGAAAATTAAAGTTATTATCCAATCCTTTTTTTTTTCTTGGTTATTAGCATTTCAATTTAAAACTTACAATGGTCCCGTGAAACCTGGAGCACAAATACACTCGCCAGACACATGATGACATGAACCGCCGTTCTCACACCTACATTCCTCCAAGCACTCGGCACCATAATAACCCAGGGGACAAGTGTCTTGGCACTTTTCCCCCGTATAACCTTTGTCACACTGACAAGCACCGGTATATGGTTCACAGGTGGCATTGTTATAGCAATCACATTGTTTTTTACAGTCACGACCCCAATAACCAGTGGGGCAATCTAGGTTGATAGGTTGGTTTTGGGGAGGAAATATTAGAAGAGATTTATATAAACACCATATTGTGCAGATAGAGAATTTTTTTTTTAATAGAAGTTTGCTTTTGCCTGGTTAATATGCTTGGAAATGCTGTTTTGGAGAAGACTATTAGACACACGACATACACTGGACAGCACCTAATTTTTGGAAAGATTTTTCTGTTTTCGGTAGTGTATAGGAGTGATAAGTGTAGTGTCTTGTGTTGTACAAAGATACGTTTGGAAGAGTTTCAAAATGGTGCAAAACTTATGTTCTATTGTGGCAGAATTATTATTTAGTGGGATGGGTAAAGGGTGGTTTTCGGTGGTCTCTTGGAGGTGTGGGTAAGTATTTAAAAAGCCAATAAAACGAAACTCCAATGTTATTTGTAATTAAAAGCAAAAGCTAAAGCAACAACATTAATAAAGGTATAGAAATTGCGAAAAAAAAAAGAGAAAAGAATAGTAGTGCCCTAATTCTTGTTCTGTGAAAGTGTTAAAAACCAATTCTTGTAAATTAAAAAAAAAAACTAAACCTCAACATCTCAAAGATTTTTTGTGAAATAAAGACCAACATAAGGTCTTATCTTAGAAGGGAACCCATAAAAGGTCTTTAATCGATTGAAGGATTTTCCATCTATAGACCATTACAAAACCTGCCAAAAAAATCTTTTTTTTATAGAATACATGTAAAAAGCTCTAAAATAGTATAAAACCTAACCAATAAATATATCGGGAAATTAATTAAATCTATGGCAGAACCTCGTGAAGCCCTTTGGCTGTAGAAGGCGTGTTATGTGTCGTCTATTTGTCTTATGGATTTAATAGCCCTTAAAAATATTTAATCAATACATCTTTGTAGCTTAATAGACCCAAAAAACCATTTTCATAAAAAAATTCCTAACTTGACTATAAAAATTTTTGAAAATTATTCTCAGAAATCTTCGTTCAATAACTCAATTAGACCTTAAAAAACGACAAAATCACCTCGTTTTGAGAAAATTATCGTATGTTGGATCTAAAAATCCTCTTAAAAAATCTTTGAAAAATTCCTAAATTGATGACTCTAAAAATACTTGAAAATTATTCTCAAAAATTCTCGTTTAATGACTCAAATAGACATAAAAAACTATAAATACACCCCGTTATGTGGCTCTAAGAATCATCAAAATAATCATAAAAATTCCTATTCTGTTGGATCTAGTGGCCCTTAAAAAGATTCTCATTTGTTAAGTCTAAAAGTCCTTGAAAAAGTATTCTTAAAACATCTTTTTAGTTGACTCTTAAACATCCTTGAAAAATACTCTTGACTATTCTGGTCTGGTGGCTCTAAAATTCTTGAAAAATACTCTAAAAAATCCAGCTTTATTGGCTCTATTAGTCATAGAAAAAAATATTTTTATAAATTCAGGTCTGGGAGCACTGATAGTCCTTGAAAAATATCCTTAAAAAATCCTTGTTTGGTGGCTCTAATAGTCCACGTTTGGTGGGCTCCTTGTAAAAATTCTTAAAAAAACTCTAATCCTCTAACAGACCTTGAAAAATGTTCTTGAAAACCCTAATTTAATGGCTCTTTAAAAAAATTCTTAAAAATCCTAGCTTTAATAGTCCCTAAAAATATATTTTCAAAATTCTTCGATTTGAGGCTTTAATAGTCCTTGAAAGAAATACTTCAAAAAGCTGGTTTTGGTGGCTCTAAAATATCGTTGAATACCTATTTTTAAAAATTGTTTGGTGACTCTAAAAATCATTGAACATTAGTCCAAAAGAATCCTCGTTGGGTGAATCTAAAACTCTTTGACAAATATTCTTCCAAGTCCACGTTAAAAGCTAGAATAGTTATTGAAAAAATATTCTCAAAAAAAAAAAAAAAAAAACATTGGATGGATTTTAAAGACATTGACAAATATTCTTTAAAAATCTTCGCTTGGAAGGATTTAAAAATACCTTGAAAAACATTCTTAAACAATCCTCTATTAATCCTTGATACATTTTTATAAAAAAACATTCTTCGAAGTCCTCGTTTCGTAGCTCAAAAAGATCTTCCTAAAAAATCCTCGCCTGATGACTTGACAAATATTTTTCATAAGACTAGTTTAGTATCTCTAAACGTCCTTAAAAAGTCCACTCTGATAGTCCGAAACAGAGACAAGAAATATTCTCAAAAAAAAAAAAAAAAAAAAAAAAAAAAAAAAAATTGGATGGCTTTTAAAGACATTGACAAAAACCTTGGAGGGATTTAAAAACCTTGAAAAAAAATTTTTAAACAATCCTCTAATAAACCTTGATAAATATTCTTAAAAATCCTCGTTTTGAAGCTTTAAAATTTCTTAAAAAAAGGTTCTTACAAAACCATTTTTGATGGCTCTGAATGTCGTTGAAAAGTATTCTTAAAGATCTTCCTTTTCTCTTTAAAAGTCCTTGAAAAAATATTCTTTGAAGTCTTAGTTTGGTAACTCTGAACGTCCTTAAAAAAGGAAAAATTTCGTTGCTAAAGAAGACGTTTAAAAAATATTCTTAAATAAAAATTAAAATTTTTCTAAAGCCTAGTTGATAGCGTTCATAAAAACTCCACAAGGAAAACAAGGACTGATAGTCCTGAAAGAAATATTAAAAAACTATACTTATAACTGTAATTCAGATGGTTCTTAAAAATATATTCTTAACATCCTCAACGAATCTTGAAAAATATTCCAAGCACCCAAAAATTATGTTTAAAAAATATTCGTAAAAATCCACTATGTCTGATAATCCTTAACAAAATGCTCTTACAAAACTATATAGACACACAAAATAATCTTGAGAAGTCAAGAATTTCAGCTTCTGCAATAGGTTGTATATTTTTCTATAAATCATATTTCTAAAAGGCCTTTCTCTACGCATTCCTACAGTCGTTCTATATATAGAAGTTCTGATAAAGTTTCTGGTTATAGATTTATCAAACGTCTATTCAAAGAACTTATATTAATAGAATATCTATTGAAAATTTATAGAGAGAAAGGAAGACCTTTCTCCATGTATTAAAGAAGGGTTTTAACAGATGTTCAATATATATAAAATCTTAAAATATTGTAAAATCTAAAGAAGATCTTTGGAAGAAAGTTTTAAAAATTGTTAAAAGAATTAAATAAATAAGGAAATAAAGTTATTTTCACAGAACAAGAATAGGGCTCTGAATAAACTAAAAAATACTCTCAACAATATTTTTTAATAACCACTAAAGAAAAAAATACCAAAAAGCATCTTGTAGAGAAGAAAACAAACACTGAAGGCTTTCAAATGTGCTAAAATAAAAGTGAAAAATAAAACATGAAAATCTACGAACTTATGTCACAGGAAGGTCCACCATAGCCATGTTCACATTTGCATTTGTTGGGTGCCACACAAACGCCATGGACACATTTCTCATCACACTTGGGTATGCAAGTATCGTCCACGGGATTGCGCATATAACCCTCTGGGGGAAAAGAAAAAAATTATATATTTTTATTCCAAATAAATATATGTATACGAGTATTATTTTTTAAACAACTTACCACAACAGTCTATATCGAAACGTTCCTTATACAGCGTTGTTGTTTTATTAACCACCCGCGTTTGGAGTTTGTATGATGAACATCGTGGTGGGACATTGAAACACCAATTATTTGTTCGTACTTGATAGTTTTGTAATTCTGTGGTGACAACTGTCACGGGATATCTAAAGTAAGTAGAAGAAAAGAAAGACCATTAGTTAAAAATAATAATAAATTTAAGATATAAATAAATTGGTGGTTAATGATATTATATTAGGTTTTTTATTTATGAACGAATGAGAACAATTGTTTTTTGTTTTTAATTTTAGAACAGTTTGACTAAAAATACTCTTCAAAGACCAACAGACCCACAAAATTCGGGTTTTTTGAGATTATTTTAAAGGATCATCAGAGCAACAAAACGTATATTTCTTAAAAATTCTTTAACAACGAGCAGAAAATTGAATTTTTTATTTAGATTTTTTCAAGAACATATCAAAAAAAAAAATGGACTCAAGGACCAACAGACCAAATATTTTGTGAGAACAGTCAGTTCCACAAAACATGCATTTTCATAGATTTTTTTTCAAGGTCCATCTGAGCCAAAAGAAAAAAACGTAGATTATTTAAGAATATTTTTAAGGGCCATCAGAGCAACAATACATGTATTTTTTAAGAATATTTCTTAAACACCATCAGATTCTCACAACGTGAACTTTTCGAGAACCAACAGGCCAATAAATGTGAATTTTTTTAAGAATATTTTTCAAGAACTACAAGTCCATGGTAGAATAATTTTGATGAGATTTTTCAATAAAAAAATATTTTTGAAGGACTCCATCACCACAAAATTTGAACTTTTTAAGAATATTTTTCAAGGACCTTCAGAGCCACAAAACGGAAATTTCGAGGACAATTAAAGGAACAAAATTTGAAATTTTTAAGAATCTACAAAATGTGAATAAATTTTTTCAAGACCATCCGAGTTCGAAAATGTGTATTTTTTTAATGTTTTTCAAGGACCATCCCAAAAACGCATAAGGGCTGATGCTGGTCGAAACTTGTATGTTTTTATTTCGGGTCAATTGGGTATTGTAGAACCCGCTTTCTCAAATATTCTTGAGGATTTAGTCCTCCCCAAAATCAGAGGAAGCTATCCACTTGCCAACAATTAACACGGATTCCGTTTAAAACATATTACCACAACACAATTGCATGACATGTCCCACATATCAGTCGAAAATGAAACCAGAACAAGAACAGGGGAGAACATATGTGAAAGCCACTGGTACATGGAATTCTGCAACAAGAAGTCCAAATCCCGTAGAGTGAAACAAGCAGTTCCCCAAGGTGGGGAGATATCTCCGGAACTATTTTACCTCTACCTTTCCATGCCGTTCAGACAGCATAGAGATCGTTAAGTGTGTAGATAATCGTACATTAATGGCGTCGGGCCCCGTTGTTAAGACATATGTCCAAGCTTGAACATCTCACTAGCGGAGTTTGCCGCCTACATCCTCGCGAAGAATATGAAAATGTTCGACATTAAATCAATGGTCACACTTTACGCCACATGGTTTGCGGAGATGAGAACAGAGCTGAAAGTGAAAGTCGATGGAAATATAGCTCCGATCCGACCGAACTACCCCAAAATCTTAGGGTTCACATTCGACGGCATTTATCTGCGCTAGACGGCGGTACTTGGAGTGCGGCCAGGGAGGCCTTGTTGACCTCTTATAAAGCGATAGGTCGGTCAATGGTCACATATGCGGTCCCAGTGTGGTCTGCGAACATAAGTGCAACGCATCCAGACCTACAAGAAAGCTACTCTGAGAGTTCCTCCTCATTACATCAGTGGACCATCTACACGAGGAGATCCTGTCCGTACGTATATTTTTATCCTGTCCGTACGTAACCATAACCATATGGTTCCTTTGCAGTACCAAATTGGGTGTTATCGTGGAAGTCAACCAAAGTATAATTTGGTAGATAAAATTCTCAATCCTACCAGAGGTTGTCACGAAGGACATATATTATCTACAGAGGGGAATTCCAATGCCTCCAAATCGAGAAGCCTATCAGACAGGTCCGATTGGCAGTCACAGATTCCATCAACAATTAGAGAATGAATACCGTCCTTGAAGTAACAGCTTAACAATCTTGGATATTTTTAAGAATAATTGTCCCGAAAAATACGTTTTTTAAGAACACTTTTTAAAAGGACCAATATTTTTGAGCATATTTTTCAAGGGCAAACAGACCAGAAACGTGCGTATTTTTAAAATTTTCAAGAATTAAGCAACTTAAAAATCGCGAATTTTTTAAAAATTGTTTTCGAGGATCAGCAGCCTTTTAATCGCGTAATTTTTAATATAATTTTCATAGATAATTTTTCAAGGACCAGCAGAGCCAAAAACATAATTTTTTGAAAATTCTAAATTAAGGGCCATTGTACCCATTATCGAGATCTTAATTAATTTTTTAAAGAACAATAGTGGATTTTTAACTCCCAAACAACAAGGACCCTCAATGAGATCTGAGATTTTTTTAAATTTTTTAAGATTTGTCGGGATCAATAATCACTGAAATGTTTTAAGATTTTTTAATCGATACTTACGTTACTTTGGTTTTACACACATTCAGATCTTTTCGATTCTCCTGATCGAAGAGTAATTCTGTTCGTGCATATGCCAGCACTAAGAGACAACTACTGTAGAACAGTAAAATGCGTGGATGTGCCATAATTGTCGTGCAGGTTACTGTTAGCAAAAACGTTCAAAAATACTTCAAAAATAAATGACAGATTTGATTCAAACGCAAAAGAAAACCCAAAATAAATCTGAAAAGAGAAAAAAAAAATAAAAATCAACCACACAATGATTAGAAACTTAAAAACAAAACTTACTTTCACTATTTGTTGTGGATATTTTGCATTTTTTCTATGCTCCGCTTTGGCGGTTCCGGTTTCCAGCACCTTCGTTTTTGTGTGTTTTCTTTGTTTTTATTATTATTATTAAATTGAAGCGAAAAAAATACGTTGCTTCTTTCCCGGCTGGCTATTTATTTATTTAGCACATAAATCGGTCTCAAATTTGTAGTATTATTCTTTTTTTCAGTTGACGAATGTTGTTGTTAGTGATGATGATTCAGTTACAGTTTGTTTTTTTGTTCTCATGAGTCCAACAAGCGTACTGTTTGCTCTGGCAATAATGATTGTTTTCAATACCACTGAGACTTGCTCGGCAATTGGGATTCAAAACTCCCTGGCTTTGTTTATGAAGCTTGCGCTGCTTCTGTTGCTTTTACTGGAATGTTGATTATTATTGTTTTTTTTTTTTGTGGATTCTAGTTGTTGTAATTTTATTATGTGATGATGATGATGATGCTTTTGTTATTGTTGTAGTGGTCGTTTAGTTTATCCGCTTAAATTTATCTCAACTACTAAGTCAGCAGCACCCAATAAACAAAAGTCGCACACAACTGCTACTATTCTGATTCTGCTCAGCTGCAACTATTCTATCCGCCTGAGGAGAAGCCAATCATCATAATCCCAGCAATCTGTGTCTGTGCTATTTTCCAAAGATATCACAAAGCCGTAAAGTAACTGCAAGGAAAATAAAAAAAACGTAAACGATTAAATTCAATTAGTTTTGTAAATATTTTTTTTCTTATTTTCACATGTTTGGAAAAAATATATGTATGTACATATACGAATGAACGAAATTTTTATACCCTACAACACTATGTGTTTGGGGTATTATAAGTTTGATTGGGCCAAAAATTATGTAACACCTCGAAATATTGGTTTCCCACATAGGAAAGTATATATGGATCTTCCTAGCTCGCCAAGCTGAGTTGATCTAGCAATGTATGTCCGTCCGTCCGTCTGTCCATGTTAATTTGTAATCACTCTACAGGTCGCAATTATGGCCCGATCTTCACGAAATTTAGAATGTAGGTCGGGCTTGGACCAGAATAGAACCCTATTGCTTTTGGAGATGATCGCCAAATGTTTAGTGGTTGAAATGGACCAAATACCAATATAGACCAATCGACGCGAAATCTCGCATGTAGATAGAGTTTAGGGCGGGGAAGAAGCCTACTAATTTGGGTGGTCATCGGATAATATTTAGCGGGAAAATAGACCATATTTTTTGTGTTGAAAAAATCAAAATTTTTCATTAAACCGTGAATATTTTAAATCCCGGCGAAATCACAAAGCGAACACAAGGTTACTTCTGACCTTTACATTGATGTTATTATCCAACAAATCGGATATGTAGCAAAATATGTGCGATATACTTATATGTCTATCAAAGGAGATATGCTTGAAAGATCTCTTATATGTCGAGAACGGCTGAACTGATTTCGACAGTTCTCATTAATTCAGAATGGCCTCTTGGCAGGAGAGAAATGTCTAAAAAATCGCATAAAAATATCTCTCTAAAGATGAAATATTGATTTTGTAAAATTTTCTCATATTTTTTTCAATTTTGTCATATTTTTGGCATATTTTCATTTTGAATTAAACATTTGGTAATATTTCTACAGCTAACAAAACTAAGTGGTTAGGATATCAGGATATCATATGCAGATCGCATTTATGGCCTAATCCTTACGAAATTTTGCATGGGGATAAGATGAGGGTCAGAATAAAAGCCTACTCTTTTTGGAGATAATCGCCATATATTTAGGTGTTGAAATGGACCAAAAAACTGCAAAATTGTCGGTAGGTCGTAATTACCGCCCGATCCTCACGCGCATTTGAATGGAGGTTACGGGACATTGCAAAAGCCAAATAGTTGTGGATGGCCATCCAAAAATATTCAATGTGTGAAATAGTTTGCCAACTTTTGTAGATAAAATACAAAAATCCATTCCAGTGACTTTTTGGAGAATGCACAAATACAGGAAAGACGCACTTCTGACTATTTCGTTAACGCTGATTTCGTTGATGAATATAGTCAAATGTCTGTATCTCATATAGAGAGATTATAGGTCATAGGGAAATATTGGTTCCAGACCTAGGAAGACCATTTACGTGCAACATCTACCAATAAATTGGAAATGAGCAAATTAGTTTAAGTTGCTATTATTCGAAAATTAGAGAACGAAACCTGACGGTTTTCTTTTATTATTTGTCACAATATCTTGTGGAATTCTGTCGAGTATTTCACCTATATAAACTGTATGGTTTATTATAGTGTTGTAGGGTATTCAACGGTCGGCCCCGCTCGACTGTAGCCTTTGCTTACTTGTTTTTCTTTGTATTTTGGCTAAGTATATATTTAAATATTGATATTCTTCATGTATCAGATTTCAATAATGAATTGTTCGAAGTAGATTTTCGTGTATAGCATAACAAAAAAAATCTATCGTATCGAAAAAAAAATTTCCATCAAAATAACTTTCAATATATCAGTTTTCGATTGATTTAAAAGAACATTTGTGTAGAAACGAATAACAGCTTTTTTCGCAAAAAAATTACTTTCTGGTCAATTTCCGAAAAGTTTTGATATTTCAGGGTTTCCATAACCATTATTTTGTTATTTTTTTATATAATTTCATTAGGAGTTGTGCTGATTGTGGCAACCCCAATAAATTCAAATGTTGTCACAAATTCGTAAAATAAAATTAAAAAAATGTTGAGAAAACATTTAAAGAATATGGTCCTGTGCAAGATCCGCTAACAAAAAGTAGATATGTAAAAATATTTCATATATAAATTCCCCGTCATACACATGGGTCTTCTCTTATCGTTATTTTTCTGACATTTTCGTTTGTATTTTTGGAAAAGGCTTTAAAAAAACATGCAGTACAAAAATCCAAAATATTTTTTCTTTCGCCAAAATTCCAAACGAAAGGAAAAATACTGCTACAAAAACAGGCTGAAAATATAGAATGTGAGACTTGAACGCCAGTTGTTTCTACCAAAATGTTAATTTTTATACCCTTAGCCATATGGCTACAGAGGGTATATATCATTTGATACGGTCAAAACGTGCCTAGTCGAAATAACGGTTTCAGACCCTGGGTCTTTTTGGACCAAATCCGTTTTAGGACATTAGGAGTCGATTTAGCGATGTCCGTCTGTCTGGCTGGCTGGTGCGCACGACAACTCTCGAAGGAAGTATCCGATTTTATCCAACCTTGGTGCATCTTAATATTATTGTCAAACTTAGATTGAGTTCGGAGATGAGCAATACCGGTCCACACCTTCTGGTACCTCCCCCACAAAATGTCAACAAATAATTTACTGCACAGAAGGAGAAAGTCTGATCTTGTCCCAACTTTGCAAATCCTAGTATTTACATCAGTGTTAGGTCAGGTGCGAAAATGGACAATATCGATACACTCCATCAAGTACCTCCCCCACAAAGGGTCAAAATTGTTACTTATTATAACTTTTATAAAATGTGATGTAAATGTCCAATCGTCTTCAAATTACACACAACACAATATTTTTATTAATTCAAGGTCTGGTGTGAAGAGAGGATATATAGATCCACTCCCTCTGGTACCTCCACACAAAGGGTCAAAATTTTGAATTTTCATGAAGATCACAAAACAATAAATGTACTTCCGATTCCTTTCAGACTTGCCACATCTCAATATTTTCATCTACACAAGATCTGTTATAAAGATGGTAGAGATCAGATCTTTCTTTTTGTACCTCCGCCACAAAGGGTCAAAGTTTTGAATAACAAAAACGATCATAAGATCCGAAATAAGCATCCATTTCTTTTCAAATTGCACACATCACAATACTTTTGTTAACTTAAGGTCTGGTGTTGTCTGGAGAAAGGCAAAGATTATAAAATTTTGAATAATTATCTTCTTCTTCTATATCTATAAAAGAGGAAAATGTTTGTACGTTTGTTTGTTTGTTTGTTTGTTTGTTTGTAATTTATGGACTCGAAAACTGCTGAATAGATTTTTCTGAAAATTTCCATATATACTGCAACATCGCCTGAAAGTAACATAGGCTATATACATTTTTGAATTTCCACTTGGAACTGGAGATATAGCATCAGAATCGGAGGTACCTCCCAAAAATTTAGATTTTATATGCACATATCTATTGATCGGTTAAAGATACAGTCTCCAAATTTGGAATGTGTAACGGAATTTGGAACAAAAATAAGTTTGCTAAATTATATTGTAATCGGTTCAGATTTGGATATAGCTCCCATATATATTTTCGACCGATTTCGTTCATTTGATGCCTCAAACACAATATGAATGTTCGATTCCAATGAAATTTGGAATATGTGACGGGATTTGATCCGAAAATAAATTTGTCAAATTATATTGAAATCGGTTCAGATTTGGATATAGCTCCCATATATATTTTCGGCCGATTTCAAGCATTTGATGCACCAAACACGCTATGTATCCCCAATTTCAATGAAATTTGAAACGTGTGATAGATTTTATCTAAAAAAATTTATTTCCCAAATTATATTGAAATCGGTTCAGATTTGGATATAGCTCCCATATACATTTTCGGCCGATTTCATGTATTTGGTGGACCAAACAAGATATGTATGTCCAAATTTAATGAAATTTAAAATAAGTAACGGAATCGGGAGCAAAAATGAATTTTTCAAATTATATTGAAATCGGTTCAGATTTGGATATAGCTCCCATATATATTTTCGACCGATTTCATGTATTTGATGCACTAAACACGCTATGTATCTCTAATTTCAATGAAATTTGAAATGTGTAGCGGAAATTAAAACAAATATACATTTGTCAAATTATATTAAAATCGGTTCAGATTTGGATATAGCTCTCATATATATTTTCGACCGATTTCATGTATTTTATGCACCATACACGATATGTATGTTCGATTTCCAAGAATTTTGGAATATGTAACGGGATTTTGATTAGAAAATAAATTAGTCAAATTATATTAAAATCGGTTCAGATTTGGATATAGCTCCCATATATATTATCCGCCGATTTCACATATTTGATGCACATTTGACAAATTATATTCAAATACGCTCAGATGTGATTATAGCTCCATATATATACTCAGCCGATTTCACATATTTGATACACCCAAAGCGAGAGAGACAAAATCTGGCACCAGCAAAAATTGCACAATTATATTGAAATCAGTTGAGGTTTGGATATAGCTAACATATATATTTCGGCCGATTTCATACATATTATGCACCAAACACGATATATATGACCGATTCCAATGAAATTCAGAATGTGTGGCGGAATTTTGTTATAATAATAAATGTGATAAATTAATTGGAAATTAGTTAAGATTTGGATATAGCTCCCATATATATATTCTCGGCCGATTTCACATATTTGACGCACCAATTTCAATTAAATATGAAAGGTGTGGCGGAGTTTGGTGTAAAAGTAATTTTTTTTAAATTATATTTAAATCGAATCAGATTGGGATATGATTTTAATAAGAACCATTGACCCACAACGCCTTAGGCTAACACTAAAAAACAACACAACAATTTATTTGAAATTCGCTTATTACGGCGAAGTATGTTGCTATCTCGAATTCACTACTTGCAATAGAAATGCCACTCTACTTAAAAAAATTGCAGTTTCCTGCACGCTTGGTATTTGCTATGAAATAAATAAATCCAAAGGACAAACCCTTCGTGTATGCATGTCATGTTACTGCTTTTGTAATGATTTTGTTTATTAACGCATTAAATTAGTGCAATATTTTTTTTAATTTTTAAATTTGTTTTTCTTTATCCAACATTTATTCGTAAATAAAATTTTGAATGCATATAAAATCAAAAGGGGTAGCGAAGCGCACCGGGTTCAGCTAGTAATTTGTATAAAATGAGATGTAAGAGTCAGATTGTCTCCAAATTATAAACATCACAGTATTTTTATTAGCCCTAGATCTGGTGTGAAGATGGGATATATCGGTCCACTCCTCTGGTACCTCCCCCACAAAGGGTCAAAATTTTTTATCCATAAAGCTCATAAAACGCGAAAATAACGTCTAATTCCATTCATATTTGGTACTTCTCAATATTTCGATCAACACAATATCTGTTATAAAGATGGTAAAGATCGCACCATTTCTTCTGGTACTTCCCCCACATAGGGTTCAAGATTTTGAAAAACAAAACGATCAAAGAACTCTTTACTCTTTGTTACAAAGCAACTGCCCATCCTTTATCCTAACCAAGATGACATCTTTTCAAATTTGAAAATCTATTTTCGAACCTCGATTTTGAAACATTTACTTTATGTTTCTTCCATATACGTGTTCCATCTGACAAGGTTCACGAAATATTTAATTCTCTTTTCAATTTGATATTATAGCATCTATTTGCAACACACAAAGTGGCCCGGGACATCAAATTTCCGAGAACAGCCAAACGTTGATTCTAACTCTCTTACTTTCTTCGCAATTCCCAAAAATAGGTACTGCATCATATTGGATTTTCTTTCTTACATCTCATTTATTATTCTTATGATTTCTCTTCTAAAACTAAATCTAATTAACACCTACAAAAATAGAAGTACGGGTACACAAAGAAAGTGGAACATAAAATACAATTTTTGTTTTAGAAAATATAGTATAAAGATAGAAAGTAAATCAACAATTGATACATATAAATGGAAAATTAAAAATACACTTATTGGCAAAACTAGAAAATATAAATGCACAGGTTACATATTTTAAAGAAGGTGGGTTGTTTTTCTCTTTTGTTCTAATGTTTATGAAGTCTATTTTTTATTCAATTTCATTGTGGCAAATTCATTGCTTAATATTTTCATGACATCAGCATGTTTTGTATCGTCACGTTTATATTTCTTGTAATTGTCCTTGACAAATTTAGCAAAGCCCGTTGGCTCCTTAACCGGTGTTGGTATAATATTGCCCTCCTTATCTTTTTTATTGAGAAATATTTCAATAGCACCATGGCAATAGGAACAGCGTATATTCTCCACTTTCTTTGATTTTGAATGAGCATGTGACCTGAAAGAAAATTTTAGTTTAATACAAAATGTTTACATTCTTTAGAAATTGTTTTTTACTTACTTGGCTCCACATAGAGTACATTTATAGGTATATTTATATTCTATATCATATTGATGACACACCCCAATTTTAGGTATTTCAGGAAAAGTGGCATTAGCCCTCTGGGCCCATTCCTTCCATGTACGGCCATGGCCGCCTTCACCATTAAATATCCATGTGGCTGCATGACACAATTCATGTATCAAAGTGCAACGCAAACGATCGGCACTCGTCAGGACTTTTTCACTCAACTCCACGACACTGGATCGTACCCCAAGTCTAGAAATAATACATAAATATGATTGGAAGGCCCGGTTTTAAATCTCGTGTTGCTTACTTTTTCTTATTCAAACATCGACCAGCAGTGTTGATAAGTTTCTTATTCCATGTTAAGGGCACATTAAGTTTATTGCCAAACAATCTTTGATTGTACATTTCATAAAGTATGTTGGCCAGATCTTCCTTTTTGGTGCGATAACTCTCGCGATAAATCAGGGCATCGGGATGGCAAAAGGCTTTGCTGACCGTTACTAGAACCAACGAATAAAATGAGTTAATAATCTTGTACTTTTAATTTCGAAAAAAATAACCTACCATCCAATGATTTCAAAAAACTATATTTATAATTTGGTGTCCCGCTAAGATCTCCCAACTTTTTGGGCTCTGCCTTACGGCCAGTGGTTGGAGTCTGGGGCTTTGTTTTACTACCCGATTTAGTTTTCGAAGTGGGTGTGTCGTTTATTTTCTCTCTAAGAGGTGTAGTTGCCCCGGCCTTTTTGGGTGATGGTGTCAGTTTGAATATGGGCTTACCCACCTTTACCGATTCCAATTGTTTATTGAAAATATCCAACTTCTTGGGCCTTCCCTGGGCATCAAAGGGGCAAGTTACATTATCAAGTATAATGCTCTCAGATTCATCTACCAATATTTTTCTATTTTCCTTTTCAACAATATCCGGCAGGGCAGGATCTTCAACCTCCAAATCATGACCAAACATGGGAGTAAACAATTTACGTTTCGTTTTTGTTGATTGAGTGGAGGATGGCAGCTTGGGTTTATCCTCATGCCGGCAAGTTTTGAGTATATCATTTAAACGTGTTGCAAATGTGGCATCATGATTTGCCGGTGGACTTTGCGGTACATCTTCCAGGATGGAAACCTCTTCCTTGGATAAATCCAAATAGACCAATTGATCCTCTGATTTATCCGCTTTCTTCTTGGCTTTGGAAGTTTTACCTATTTTTGTATTGTTTTTCGCCCTTGTCTTTTTGGGTTCAAAGTCACTATCGGAATTTGTCACATCGTCATCTTGTTTCCAAGATTCGTCTGATTTCAAATTACTATCGCTATCGTCATCAGATGGAAGGTTATGTGGAAGTTTCTTGTTTGTAGATTTTTTATTAGTAACATTTCTTTTCGTTTTCTCCTTGGGCTTTGCTGGAGAAGCCCTGAAATCAATATCATTGTTTTCCTCATTATCACTACTACTTCGTTCGCCATCACCGCTTTCCTCACCAGAAGAGTTCCGTTGTTTACGTGAGGGTTTCTTACTAGTTGACTTTTTATTGTCCTTCTCCTTTTTGTTGTTGATATTTCTTTTCGATTTATCTTTGGGTTTCACCGGCGAAGGTTCAAAATCACTATCATCCTCCACATCACTCGCTTGCCATGACTCATCATCGGATTTGTCGGCATCATCATCATCGGATGCATTATTACCCTCAGATTCGGAATCGGTATCATCGATAAGCTGCCGCCATCTTTCATTTTGTGATCGTATTTGATTTACGCTTAATTTTGCCATTGCTGGGGTTCTGGGTGGTGGCTTTTTCAACTCAGTTTGTGGAGCTTTAAAGACATTGTCACGTTCGTCACGTGATTTCATTGTCGTCGTTTTTGTGGTGCGGTTCCTGGGTTCAGTTTGGCAGTTGTTTATGGCCCGATTTGCAGAGGATTTCGTTTTTGGCGTCACCAATCGGGTTGAATCCAAATTGGTTCTGACAATATCTTTGCGAACTTTAAGAAGATAATGTTTTCATTTAAATTGGAATAAAATATTTTAGAAACTCAAAATTGTAAAAAATTTAAATCCGTTTTAAACAATTAAATTGGAAATATTAGTTTTGTATTTGAAGTTAACTACAAATAAATTTCGAATATAATTCCGAATTTTAACACGGATTCAAAATAACACGCCAAAATAAATGGTTGAAACTTACACATGCTAAAATCACACAATGCACTCTCATCGGTCACTCGAAGACTACTCATTTCCTTATCAGTTCCACTTGGGGCAGGTTTTTCTTTTGGCTTACTTGTCGATGGCGGTTTCTTAACAGCTGATTTTTTAAGCGTATTATCCGCACTGCCAGATGTCCGTTTAAGGGTACGTATAACATCGGGTGTTTGCCATGAATTACCATATAGTTGATTCAATAGCTTCTGGGCAGCATCAACAAAGTTTTCATCCTCTTCGACAACCATACAGGAGTCATCCAAATTATCATTTTTATTGTCCAGCAATTTATTTGGAGTACGTCCATTAACATTTCCATTCCTAGCAGGAGTTTTTGATTGCCTTACAATTGTTTTATTGTTAGGTGTTTGGGGTTTCTCTCTACTTTTTGATGGTGTTCTCTCCTGCCTCGCTTGTTCTTGTTGTTGTTGACTCAAAACTTCAGCTTCATCAATATGTGGTTGTTCTTGTTCGGGCAGTGATTCTATTGTACTACGACGATTATCAGAATAATCACCATCCTCACTGGGCTCCGTTGAATCGGTAACATGTATTTTTATATTTATTTTAGCCGATATATTGATGTTCGCCATGGACATTTGAATTTGAGACATTTGGCCATCAGTATCGCTTTCTTCATCGGTATCCTCATAGACTTCACTAGCTTCAGCATTGTGCAGACTTGTTGAAAGTTTATTATTGTCGTTAGACTGGGGACTATGCACCGATTCGGTGTAACTGTTTTCTTCATCTGTTTCCAAAATGGTTATAGAATGATCGGGAGCAGACTTATTTGCTTCAGGAGATTCGCTAATACAAGAATTGATGGAATTATTATAGGATTTTTGTGGGGTTTTCATTTCGGGACTTGAGGGAAGAAATATTGAAGTATTTACTTCTGTGTCGGCTTGGGCTAAATCTTTATGCAAATTTCTAGCTGCAGAACCCGCAGAGGTGTCGGAATGTGAAGTATTTAGCTCGGTTTCATCTTCAGCCAAATTTCTTACATTTTCCTGTGGACTTGAATGTGTTGAGACTTCAGTATTAGCTTCAGTGTCATTGTGGGCCAAACGCATAGCATTGTCTTTCTCCTTTCGCGCTTCATCTTCGTTTGAAGAAATGGATGAATTCACTTGGGTATTTTCCTCTGTCTCTTCTAAAGCAAAATTACGTCTATTCGAGGCCTTTATAGGTGTCTTATAAATAGGTTCCGAAATAATTAAATGCATTTCTTCTGTCATTATGGTATTCTCTTCAGTCTCTGCAGAAGCTAATCTCCTGTGTCGTTTGCCAGATTCGTCATGTGGCTTTGGGGTATTAAGAGGATCATCGAAATTGTTTTCGGGAGATGCATATACCTCACTATTATCTTGTGTCTCAGCATTGGCAATTGCTCGTGCCTTATTTTGTGGTGTCTTTTCCTCACGTTGAGCCTGGGAGGGACTAAATTGTAAATCAGTCATTATAGAATTATCCTGGGTATCTTCGTTTGCTAATCTGTGAACATTTTCTTCTCCGTTCTGGCTGGTTTCCACAAAGGCCTTAATTCTCTCTTTTTTCTCTTTCAATGATTTCGTGTTATAATCTTCTTCATCCTCCACTCCATCTGGTGTCACTGACTCAGTATCAGCTGTGGCAATAATACGAGCCTTAGTTGCATTCTCCAATTCGATGTAACGGGAATTTTGTTCATATTCCAAACTATCTAAGGTAAGATCACAACATTCTTGCAAGTTTCTTTGCTCCATGGAAACATCTTTCAAAAATGCGGTCATACGTTCCATTTTATCTGGACTCAATGCAACTAAATTAGCTCTTACGGTATTTATGGTGGACATAGCCATGTTTGTGGGATCTTCTGTTTTGTTTCCTTCACTAACCGAACTATCGGATATGGTAATGGCTTCATCCTCAGTATCTTCTTCGTCCTCCTCCTCTTCCTCGTCCTCATCTTCGGTCATTTCGTATTGTTTACTTGTTTCACGATGTTCTATTCTAGTTGTGGTTCCAACGCCAACAACTTCTTTTTTAAAGACCTTTGTTATGGGCAATTCAATAATATTAAGGCGTGCTTCCATTCCCATACTAGATCTTTGACTTTCTGTGGAAACCAATTGTGTTACATCGTTGGGTGGTTCCGCTGAACTACTACTGGTCGATGAAATGGATATGGGGCGAGCAAGCAAATCAATAGCTGATATTTTGTGGGACAAATCATCCACGGCCACATCCAAGTGGGGTGGTAGTTCAACAGACTCATTATATGACCCCAAATCCTCTTCAGTTTCGCCTTCCTCAGCATGGTCGTCTTCGGTTACATTTAATGGATCCATTGTTTCATAGTGTTCCCCCAAACGACTTGCATTATTTCTTTCGTCACTTGGATCTTTGGAGGATTCACTGCGCAACAATGGATTTCGATGATCATTTAACGAATCTTGGCTTTGTTGGGATAATTGTTGTAATAAGTTGCGACTAGCGCTTTGACGTTTCTCCTGCAAACTGGAATAAGTATTGGGTTCTGCCGCTGGATCATTTTTTACATTATTTTCCTGCATTTCTTGTTGTTGCAGTTGTTTCTTTTTACTTGAGGATAACGTTAGTTTGGAAAACCCTAGAAATAAAAGCGTCTTAATTTTGGTTTTTGTTATAAAATTCCAATTGTACTTACGCTCATTGATTGGTACTTTGATCTTGGAAGGATCTATAGCTTGCAATAAACTATAAATTGGTTCCTCTTCCATGGTATTGTTAGCATATATTTTTTTGATAATGTTTTTATTATTTCTTATTTCAACACAAACACAAAACAAACAAATATATGTATAGTCAAGTTAAGAAATTTCACTTGGCGTCCATTTAGCACAATTCAAATGGATTCCAAAGTCGCGCCGCAATCATACCACATATTGCTAACGGCGTTAAATTTTTCATGTGGCATAGGCATTTGTATGTGAGTAGTGTCAACAAAACACAGCCATGAAGACACCACTGCTCTCAAAAAACACAGCTCTCTGGCCGTTTCATGAAATGTATATTAGCAACGATTTTTCGGACTAAGAGAAAGTTATTGGAGCATTTTTTTACATCCTCTCCCCAAAAAATCTAGGTAGTATGCATAATCTGGATAACAAAGCACTTAATATGAATAATTAGCGCAGATGTAAATCCTGTGCTTTTCACACAAATGTTAACTAAACACTGCCATGTTCTCTCCATGGTACGAGTTGAACATAGCTTCGTTTAGGCGCGTCTTTGCTGACTATTGATCCGTTATAAAATTAATTTAATATTGTGTATTATATATTGTAGAAAAAAGTGGACTGTACATTGCTTGTGAATAAATTGTTGGCCAACCATTTTTTAACAATTGTGTGGAAGTCTGTTAGGAACCTCTCCTTTAAAGAACCGCCAGAGAAAGGTGTCGTTCTGATCTTGTATAAAAGAACATCTGCTGGTCATCTATGGAAGAAGTGGGTTCTATCAATTTCCCCCATGAAGGGCAGAAATCTGAGTCTAGCATTTCGTTGTTTTAAAAGACACCAACGGTACCATGGCATTCTAAAATGAAGTCTATCTTAAAATATTTGAATTTTTGGTAACAAGAATAAAATAGAGCATAAGAAATGACCCTACAATCTAATAAAAATTTACAACTTTCAAATTTCAAAACCAGTTGCCAAAGCAAAAATATATTAAAAAAAATTTGCAGAGAAGCAATTTTGAACCACACATTAAAACGAAAATATTCAAAAAAAATATATATTTCTTATTTATTTTTACTTAAACATTTTCCAAATAATTAAAAATGTCAGAATATTCAGAAGGATTAAACGCTATATCTTTGCTAAATGATGCACCCCTAACCACAAGTCGTTCCCGACTGAGTATTACAAGGAAAGGGTAAGGCAATCTAGTTAAACATTTAAATCACTAATAATTTGCTTGGTTTCCATCCCCAAAATAGATCTCAAAATTCATTTACGTGCTACAATGGAAATTACGAAGGCGACTCCAGTATGTTTACCACAATCCAGGAGAGGAATAAATTTCTGGTGCGAAATTTGAATTTAATGAATGAAAGTGATAGCGAAAATGAATCACTGCAGCCACCAGATTACGGAACGGACAGAAAAAATAGAATGAAATCCCCACGTAGTGTTTTACAAGAAAATCATCTATGGTGTCTGATACAATGTTATATGTTGAGCTACATGCCAGAGGTGTGGAGAGAACGTATAACACATGTATTGGTTACGATCATAGAGAGTTTTCGAAATGGCCACTTAAAAAAGGGGATTTCTTGTGTTCAATTATTTTTGGATTGGTTTTGCAAATTGTTACAAATCATGTTCACAAAAATCGGTTGTATTACATTGTGGAATATTCGTTTCCGTAATGCAACACGCCGTATAATGTGGTGGCTAATATTGGCAAAATGTCAAGATCTTATATATTTTACAATGATTCTGATGTCTTCCCCGTTACTATTTATTTTTTCTGCCTTTGGTTTTGCATTGTCTCTATGTGCTGTGATCAAGGAATGCCTACAGAAATCAAGAGATTTTATACAACTTCATATATTTTAAAATGGAAATATTTTTTCAATCTTTTTGACAAGAAAATAAATGTTTGGTTTCTCTACGACTTTGATGTCTCTCCGTTATTAAAATTATCTGCAAAAGAATTCAACGCACTAGCCTAAAACATATTCTTCAATACCTTTCTGATCAAACAGTGAAACGTTATATTTCCTGGTCAGCATATAATCAGTGTTTCCTTTAAATTTTTAATATTCTACAACTTTTGGTCATTCCAATAAGCTCTAGGACTTGAAACATTGCCTCTGCGTATATTTTTTCAGGCATTTCCGTCCGTATTGAAGAAAATTATAACATTTTATATTAACAATGTAGTCTGCTGTGCCTCTTGAAAGCTTACAATGAAACTTGTATGTATGTAGTTGTTGCTGTTGCCCACTCAGCATCCCATGCACAAATTGGCCAGGGCAGAAAGTACGCGCTTCACTGGTGCTGGTACATAAAATAAATTAATATTTTCCATTATTAACTCAAGTACTCAGATTGTGATTCTTCAATGGAGGCACAACAGAACGTCCGTCCACTCAACCAATTGCCGGTACAAATACCTTCACACACAGTATTTATGTACAGCATCCAGGTAAGTAATTGGTACAGAAAGCTTGAATAATTTGTTTTGTTTCATTGTAGGACAAGCTTTGTAACGCTAGTGGGAGATTCTAATTGCCGATGAATTACATAGCTGGAGAGTAAAAACAAATAAATATTATCCGGAAGGAATCAAGAATATCAAACATAGGAATTTGATCAGTCAGCAGAAAGACTTTAAACTAATGCACCTTGTCTTCTTAATACAAATACCTATAAGATATCCTAATTAGGATACATATAAGAATCGTTTGGGGTTTCATGGGCAGACCTCGAGTAGACTTTCTACTCTTTAATAACAGAATATGGTGATATAAAACTGATAGGTAAAACTTGAATAACAGTTTTATTATTTTTTTTATTATTAATATTTTTCTATTCTAGGAGAAGATTTTATAACACGATTGGGAAATTGTAAGAGCCATGAAAGATTTAGCAAAACCTCAAATACAATTAATTGTTTCTGAAAGGAATCAAGAACATCAGACATAAGGATTTGATCAGTCTGCCAAATGAATGGAAATTTATACACCGCATCTTAAGGAAATTTATTGGGTTGTCAATGAGAGCAGACGTTCAGACTCTTGCCTTTCTTTTTTAAAGTCTTCTGCTACCCCATAAGAGAAATTCTTATCTATGAAAGGAGGAATTGTTCTACAGCATCCACGCAAGTAAAAACGCTTTAAAAAACATAAATTTATCCTTTTTTCATTATAGGAAAAAGTTTGCAACGCAAACATAAGGAGTTCATCTGCTAGTAGAACAAATGAAAAGTAATGAGGATAAAATGAAATTGTTCGGGTCTTTAATAAAGCAATCTTTCAGGCCCATTATTGGAGAAAGCGAGGTTGTGTGAAAATTAACCTTGAAGTCTTCTTTTTAAAGACTTTTGCTATCTTACGAAAGAATTTGGATCTTGCGGTCTACTTTTTAAAACATTTAAGAATCGTATGCAAGAACAACTTTAAGTTTTCTATTCGCATATGAGTTTTTAGTCAGATATAAATATAAAAACCCTTCTGGTCCTCTTTGTGGGAAGGCGTTCTGGTCCTCTAAATAGGAATAAAGTCCTGAATTCTAAATAAGAAGGCCTTCTGGTCTTTCACATTTAAAGACCATTTTATGGTCTTCTAAATTGGAATAAATTCTTGCCTTTAAACTAAGAAGACCTTCTGGTCTTCCCCATTTGAAGACTATTTGGTCTACTTCATTAGAAGCCTATCCCAACTACATAGCATATCGTGTTTTAGTAGAAATAATTGGATGTGTGAAATATGAAGAGAACCGGATGCTTATTTCGGAATTTATGATCGTTTTGGTTATTCAAAACGTTCACTCTTTGTGGGGGAGGTACTTGATGGAGTGGACCGATATTGTCGATTTTTTGCACCTGACCTAGCACTGATGGAAATATTAGGATATGCAAAGTTGGAGCAAAATCGGATTATCTAGAAGAAATGGCCCGATCTCTACCATATTTATAACAGATCTAGTGTTGGTATAAATATTGAAATATCGGATGTTAATTTCTCTTTATATGAGCTTCATGTATATTCAAAATTTAATCCTTTGTGGGGGAGATACCTGAAGTAGTAGACAGGCATATTCCAACTTCACACCAGACCTTGGATTAATAAAAATATTGTGTGTGTGTATGTGTGTTATTTGAAGACAATCGGACTCTTACATCACATTTTATAAGAATTATAATTATTCAATATTTTGACACTTTGTGGGGGAGGTACTCGATAGAGTTGACCAATATTGTGTATTTTCGCACTTGACCTAGCACTGATGCAAATATTAGAATTTTCAAAGTTGGAGGAAAATCGGATAATCCTTTTTCTTTCTGTGCAGTAAAATATATATATTTTTTTGAAAATTTGGACCTGTTGTGGGGAGGTACCAGAAGGAGTGGACCGATATTGCCCATCTCCAAACTCGATCTAAATTATATAATAATATAACGATGTACCAAGTTGGGACCATATTGAATACTCCTTTCGAGAGTTATCCTGCGCACCAGCCAGACAGACGGACGGACGGACATGGCTAGATCGATTCCAAATGTCCTGAAACGGATTTGGTACAAAGAGGCCTAGGGGCAAAAGACGTTGTTTCGATGAAGCACGTTTTGGCCGTATCAAATTATATATACCCTTCTCTAGCCATATGGTTGAGGGTAGAAAAATTCTTACGAATCAATTTGGTGGCAAGTGACTGTCAGTCAATCTGGCTGCCTACGCTCTGGACTAAATATTAGTGTAATTCACAGACGATGAGTGAGTGCATTTTGTGAACTGGCGTAGTCTGTTGGACGGGCAGCACTGTCATAACTATTCATATGAATGGATGTGTGTACGTATGTTTTTTTTATAAGCGGATTTTATTAATCATTTAATAAGTGCTGCAGCAGACATTCAAGCTGTATTATCTATATTATATTATCTTTTTATCAAAAAAAGAAAGAAATTTTAAAACTTCTTTAGATATACAAACCATTTCCCCAGAAAAAAAAAAAAAGAAGAAAAAAACAATATAAAGTTCGGATAACATTTTTTAAACAAGGTAAAGAGAGGGATCAATCCCTTCGCGCCATAGGTATAAAAACACAAACTGGATCACTCCCATAGCATGTCTGCTAAAATTAAACATGAAATTCCATGACTTTTGATACAATGGAACTCCATTGAT